CGAAAAGCACATCTAACATGGGTTGACAGCGATCTCACCACCGACGCCCAGATTAATGCCCGATTACGTGGTATGAACTGGATTCAAAAGTGCTATGCCCCTTTTTCTTTTAGGCGCTCGTTGCCCATTGCTGTGCGAGCACCGGCCTATCAATTGCCTTGTTCCTCTGGCTGGGATCACACCATATACTACTCACCACCAGGAACAAAAACTTTTTGCACCTTGAGCAAATGGCCCTATCAGAGACCAAATTCCCACGGGTAATTTATGACCCGTGGGTTGAAAGGGCACCCGTGGCCCTGGTGGAGCCGACCTTGTTCGTTACCCCTTTTTCGGACCTAATTCCATACAGGGCGAAGAGAGAGAGAGAGAGAGTCTTTATATCCCGTGGAACATAGCTGCGATTATTGTGGATGGTGACTATTTTTGGTTCTGCAATCCGCCCCGACATGCAAACTGCAGCTTTGCTGTCATCTGGAGATGTACGTGAAGGCCTCGTATTGGTTGAGGATTTGGCCATCCATGTCTATCATACATGAGTAGGCCGCCTTTTTACTCGTTCCTGCAGATAGACTAGTTGCTGCCGTCCAACAGTCAAACAGCCAATGCAAGCGCACGTCAAATCTTTTGTGCTTTTTAGGCTTACATGCATCGGTGATTTCCAAATATTATTTCTTGTTTAGTCCTTTGGTCTGATCTTGATTCATTGGGATTGCAATATTGCAGTATCTGTCTTCTATATCCAATATATAAAGCTTCTCGGTACTAATTCACAGCCGCCCTGTCATGCTTCATGGGGTAGCGTCTAGGAATTCATGTCTAGTTCTTGTGCAAATGACCGGGTGATGCCTGGAACCAATCAGCATAGCCGTTCCAGTACAACCAAACCCATAACCATGGGTTTGCAATGACTTGAACATGGTCATCTTCTCAATATCGCAATAGACTCACCTGGTGGCTTGGGAAGATTAGAGTGTCAGCAATTACGACATTCTCACGCCGGCCAGCGGCAAACACAATAACTTCTGCAATATCATCCGGGGTCAGTGGCTCGCAGTTGCTGCACAATAACCCGTCAGCTCAGCCCTTCTAAACACAGCCATTCCAAGAAAGTCTTACGCATATACGGCATCAGCCTTCTCCTTATCTCCGTAGAATCGCACGACGGAGAATTCCTAACAACCGTTTAATTAGCTTCAATAGTCGCGCAGGGATAATCAAAAGAAACCCCTCACAGTCTCAACCTGACCAGGATCGATCTCGATGATCCTAATTCTCGAAGCGATAAGCTCCTTTCTTAAAGCCTCGGTAAACGACTTGACAGCCGCCTTGGTAGCGCAATAGATGCTACCACCTGGATAAGCTTCACGACCAGCGATACTTCCAATGTTAATGATGTCTCCACGACCGCCATCACCCCGCTTCTTGAAGATCGGAAGAATCGCCTGGGTCATGTTGATCAACCCGGTGACATTAGTGGAGAACATGACATCGATATCCTCCGGGGCGATCTCAGGAGCCTTGGCAACACCCTTGACAAGTCCGCTAATCTCCGTCAGTACAGGCCAGCGCCACCATCGGACAAAGAAACGGGGGGCTGCTAGCTCAACACTCACGCGTTGTTGACCAGGACATCAATTTCCTGGAACTCCGCTGGCAGGGAGGGTACGAAGTTCTGGACTTCGGCCGGGTTGCTGACGTCTAGTTTCACGGCCAATGTCTTCACGCCATCACCGACTTCCTCCTTGATTTCCTGCGCGAGCTGGTTCAGAGAGTCGATTCGTCTGGCTGTCAGGATAAGCTTCAGGTTCTTGGGCGCCGTGCGAGCGAACTCCTTGGCGGTGCTGCGACCGATGCCGGATGACGCGCCGGTGACGACGATCGTCTTGCCCTCGAGGCGCTTTGCCATTGCCGTTGCCATTGTGCGTTTGGTGATTGCCGGTTGGACTGTGCAGGCAAACGGGTTCCTTCGGGCGGATGGAGTAAGTGTGGAGAGTGTAGTACCTGAGGGGGAAGAAGCTAGGTGTCGTAGAAGTCGGATGGAATTGCAACAAGCTCGAAAATGTTTCATAAAGAGCTGTTTTCTAAACCCACAATACACTCTAAATTAGAAATTTAAGAACTAAATAGAAGAACAGAGAAGATAGGAGCAAAGATAGTACTAAAAGGCCGATGAGTCGGAATGCTGTGCGGGGAAACCCATGTCCGCATGTCGTGATTCGGCATGGCAGCGGGGCTCCGTTTCGGCTGAAGGTTTGCCCGATCGGTCTTCCAGCCGAAGAATATTCTTCTTCTAACGTCATTGGAAGACGGTATCGCGTCGAAGTATAGCTATGGACAGTTATATGGCCGAGTTGGAACTGAACTGGCATATGGCGCATTTGTTGAGTCACCGCGGAGCTCTCTTGGGAATGAAAGAGAGAAATGGTCCTTTACCGTCCATTCAACACGGATATGTATGTATATACTTTTGGAAGGTATACTTCAAATAGCGAATACAGTTGAGGAATATTCGCTACTAGCTCGACGAGTAAGATCACACGTCAAGGCAAAAGTAAAGGTTTTCTTTTAGTTTAATATTCATTGAAATAACGCACTGTCTGCCAATAGGAAAAGAGTTTTGTCAAATGGATAACCATAGCCCAGGACATATAAAAGTTAGTTTTTAAGGTTATCAGATATAAACTAGCCATTTGCATCTATAGCTGGACTTTAGGTAAATGGTTAGAATACTAAACCACTAAACCACTAAACCACTAAACGAATTAGCAGCAAATCTACCTAGTGGCCTCTAGGCTTGACACTCGCATGACTCGCTGACCAAGCTCTAATTCTAAACGCCATTGTTCAGTACGTTTACTACCCGAATGTTGGTTTTTTATATTGTATTTTCTATACGAAGCTTCTTCTACTCAACGATACGTTGCACAATGATTGGTGTGGCCTTATTTTGTGAATCCTAGAGACCGACCTTACAGTGCAAAAGACCAATGATTAGACATGAGCTACCTGTCCACCCTACGTAAAAGAGAGGTGTTAACGATAATGAATGCTACTTGGTATCTTTAAGCCACTCATGGGTTGCTTCAACTGCTATCATTATTATCTCATTGAAAAGCGCAAAACACCTGTACCTTATTGATTCCATGAGAATAGTGGTACCGAGTAATGCCAAACTTCAACGGAAGCGACCTATGTTCCAAATTCCTGTTCCCCTGCGAATTTAAACAAATTGAAAATATTATATACTTTCTCATGTTTATATACAATGTGGTCTTATCCTGAAGGTCATTTGATGAGGCTATGTTTATTAGAATCTAACATTACTATATGTGAAGGTTCAGAATATGTGTCTGGACAATAAGACCGTTAGCTGGAAAATCCTTGATAACAATTGTCGGAAAAAGAGAAGTCTATCACGTCTGATAAACCCAACACTGATTATATGAGAGCACTTATGTGGCTAGCATAATATTTCTCTCACACTAGTGTTCTAGAACTTGGTGGCAGCCCGTAAGTATATCCTTTACTATGAGGATGGAACATTAATCATGTAATCATGCTGGCTTGAGTACAAATAGTTCTATCGATCTAATCAATTTAAAAAACTCGGAAAAGCTCAGGCGGGATTAAGACGCTCAACTTACAGCATACATCCGTTCATGAGTCGTAACAAGTCGACCTGTTTTGGGTAAGAGTAGCTAGTTCTTAGAGGCGAATTCTAGCCAAGAATACAGGCAAGAAAAAACATCTTTATATCCTTCGTACAGAGCAAGATTTTGGTTTTTAATGGTTTGTAGCTGGTCCCTTAGCGAATTCTGTAACTAAGTCATCTTTAGAACAATGTGTTGTTTTCTATATAACAAAGTGCGGTATATCTCCTAAGGTAGTCTCTTTGATACTTTATTTACGAAGTCAAAAAACATAATTTAGTCTTCGTTCCTAATTACCTGACTTCCTACAGGCCTTTTTGTTGTCTTCAGTTTTTAGTAAACTAGAGAACTAATATTAGGGTATCAGAAACTTCACAATCAATGATGACTGAGGTCTGTAAACGCAGCATCTCTAATTGACAAAGCTTCCAGGAACCTAACTTGAAGGTGGAAGGAATGTCCTATATAATAATGGGAACAGTCTAGATGCTCCTTTCAAAGCAGCCATTGCTGCATGGGGCGTTTTGTATCTGGAGTTCCACAAACATCGGCTGACATTCATGAAACAAGCATATCCCCATTAGAGAGTATTATTCCTATAAAAATAACTCAACTAAGAAGCTTGAACATACATTTGAGTACTGGATAAGCCAGTACGTGGCAGACATAAACATACATCTGCATTTCGTTGATAAACCTCATCTGCAAGCTTCAGCACTATCAAGTAAACACTCCTGCTCTTGTTGGCTGCGCAACATTTACAAATGCATTCTGCTCGAGAAAGCTAGTGTAGTCTTTTGCCTTTCTCTTTGTTCCTGGTCTCCAACGTGGTATATCCTGTCTTACACTCAACAATGATGTTTTGGGCTGAGTAGAATTATGAACAATGCGGCTTGGAAAGCATGGACATGAAAGAAACCTCAAGCTCCTGTCTGTTTAAAGGGTGGAATTCTCATCATTTGTAATGATCGTGTCCAAATGTTCTCAAACAAAACATATATACTACAATTCAAGTGAATGCAAGCATTTGGCATACCTACAGCCATTATTCTATTCAGGGCTCGGTATTTTCCTTTTGTGAATGGCACAGTCTTGATTGTGTTGGGCAGTCTTTACCACTTTCTACAGCAAACTGCAACAGTACCCAGGAAGCCAATCCTACTACAGCCTCCCAGCAGCAGTGTATATATGCACCTTGTGCCTTTCTCAGGCCTCAGTGGCTGTTTCAATGTGCCTATACTTAAGCATTCCTGAACACTCTTCACTAATACGACCACATTCACAAGACGCCCTCCATATTATAGAAACTCTATACACTTTGGACTATTAAATATCCTTATATTGACTATGGGCCATTATACTCAAACCCTCCGTAAGCAGGTGAATGACTGGCTCACCTAAGTGATATCATTCTATTCACTGACCAGCAGTTGTTTGTTTGCCCAGGTTTTCGACGAGGCTCTTAGGCCCATGTCTGGCTTTGATTGGGCCGAAGACGTTGAGGAAGCGCTCGAGCAGCAGTATGAGCGTTTGAAGTCCAATGGTAATTCGGACAGGGAAACTGAGGTGGATGATATATCCGAAGAATATAGCGACACTGATACCCCCATCTCTTCTCAACAAGGAGCTGACATCTCCCCGGTTTGGGGAGAACATCATCATGCGGATGAACTTCACGGGAAGAAAGGTCCCGTTGGACGAATGGAACTTGAAACGCCATTCGGAGTAGTGCCAGTCTCGGAACACTATAGACGTACTATGAACCATTTGCCTCATGTCAATGAACATCAAGAGGACGATATATATTATAGCTATGAAGACAACTACGAGACTGCACAGATGAGAGGTGAGGTTGAACAAGAGTTTATATTTCGCAATTATTGTATGGAACATGATGAAGAAGGACAAATACACCATTTCAACTGGCTCGGTTACCCGATCTACGAGTCCAGTGGGACTCCTCCAGTGATCTCCCTTCTTTTCCAACTGTCAGACCCAAAGATGCCTAACCCTAGAGACGAGCTTCGCTTTCAATCTATCTTTGCGAGAGCTATGATGTTTATCGACCCGGTTATTGTTGAACTTGAGAAAGGTCTGGAGGATCTGGACCGTGAAGGCTTTGATCTTGTCCGATGGGCTACTGGCCGCGTTACCAGATTTTATAGCTTACATGGTCGATGGACTGAAGACCGGTTTGAATGGGAAGAATGCAGGACGCCAGATGAGGGGACTCTTGAACCGTACCAAAGTGGATCTGTGGCCTGTGGCAATGGCTTCATCAGCCTCTGCAACATCCGATCAAGGCACCAGTGGGGATGTCACAAGGCTCAGCTTCAAGAGAAGTATGACAAGGCTTGCCGCGTCGCAGCAGAGAAGTTCTACATAAAGAGACAATGCAAAGCCTATAAACCTTCTTTGCTGAGCCAGTCGATGAGCCTGAGAGATTTGGACTGTACCGCAGGTGAGACATTTGCTTTATATAGGAAGGGCTTTATACTGATTTGTGACCTTATAGAAGACCATACGGAGACGGTCAGCGATAGCTCAATCCATGAGCAAGGATACGATGGGATCTCCGTTGGCTCTCTCGAGGAGAGCGTCGAGGGGCACTGCGACGTGCAACGTACGGAAACAGATGTCAACGACCGGAGGGAAGGAACACAACAAACAAAAACCCAGCGTTTCGAAATCCATACCACAGGCGACCAGACCACCGACGCTATAGAGATCTGCGAAGACTGGCAGGCTGTTGTCACATCCCAGATTGCAACGGACTCAACCGACACCTGGGAAGCCCTCAGCAGGACGCCAAACGGCGGTCGAAAAAAAGCCTCTATAAAGAAGGGCCGCCTTGCTCGCTGGAAGGCTAATCTAAAAGCCTGGAGTGTGACATTGAAGGGACTGATGGCCAAACGCTGTCAGTTGATATGCATAAAGGCTCAGAACGTGCTCCGAAAAAGGGATTTCGCGCGTTAAGCTACGGAACGGACCCTGACCCTGACCTCGAGACGATGGATCTAAATCCGCACCAATGTTGCCTCTTGGCTAGATATCAATTTCAGTCCTTACACAGCCTTCACAAGCCGGGCTAGATTCCACCGAGACGTCGGTTACTTGAACAGGATGGGTTATTTGAAATGCTCTGATACGGATTGTTTCCAGCTTCCAAGGGTGTTGTCAGGATTGGGATTGGGATCGAAATCTAGCCAAGAGTCAACATTGGTGCGGGTTAAGTATCCATCAGAGGGTAAAGGTCGGGCTGACTCGACAACATCTTTACCCGATAGATATGCGTATGCATATCAACCGACAGTTTTCGGCGATCCGTCCTTTCAACGCGGCGTTCAAGCTTTTAGACAATCCTGCGACTGTTCCAAGCGAACAAGATCGCCCATTTCCTTCGTATATGTCGTCATGAGTTTGTGGCAAGTTTGTTAGTGCTTGACCGTTTTCAGGTGATCGTCAGGGGGGAAATTGTTATTTGGCCACACTCGCTAAACACAACTCTTTCTCCCCTTTCCCCCTCCTCCTCACCTGTTCAACGATCGTCACCCGATCTCTGACAGCAATAACCAAAGTGGTATTAACCAGTGGGGATGATGGACAACTCAGGCCTCAAATGACATATCTGACATCGATGGCAACCGTTGCAGTCAGTGTTTAGCCCGATCGGCTTGCTCTCCCTCCCCAAGACTAGAATTTGTCCCGGGTTTTCACCCATCAGCACTTATGCATGTTCTTCCTTATTTTATTATATTTTTTGATTATTTATTTATTTATTTATTTTTGAACATAAATAAAATAGCATTGATGGGTTAGCTTATTGATCCTTACTACTATTTAATAAGGGGGCAAAAAAGAAGCTAATGCAGGGCAACCTGAAAAGACTTGAACCACATGGAACGCAGGTCAAGACTTGACTATGTACTAGTAGTTATTCCCAAAGAGGAAAAGCTAGTGGCATCCATTCTTCTTCGACATCCGTTCTTATCAATCACGGTCGACCGACTTCGTTCTTTGCCCCAGCAATGGAATTCAATAGTGGCGTGCGTACCATACTGTTGGAGCCCGAAGATCACCGAGCGACGCAATAGTGCATTTGAATCGATTGCTTATGTATGTAAAGTTACATACATGCGTGCCACCCCGAGGCCCCTTACATTCACTTGGCAGTAGGCCATGCATGCAAGAAATTAGTTTCTATTGGGTCATGGGTGGCTTGCTGAACAGACCAATATGAACCCTAATGACCAAATCAGGGCGAGATATGCGTGAAACATGCCCGGAGGTTCTCCGTCCTGTGTACCGAGCACTTCCCGGCATATTTTACACCAATATTCTCCACACCTACTTCTGAAACATGCTGAATGGCTTGCTTCACCCATTGTCGGTCAGCGAGACATTGTAGTCGACCAGCGCTTTACCTCTGGCAATGCCATACGTGCTCTTATTTTTGTCTTGGCGTGCCGAACTTGATAGCCAAGAAAAACCCGGTAGACGCCGTTGTTGTTCTGCCTAACGATACGGAGTACTTCGGTATGTCGATCATGCAACGCAGAGGGACTCCGTTCTTTTAAAACCCGCCATGGCCGACATGTGTGCAGGTCTTTTATTTCCCGGCAATGTTTCGTATTCGGTGAGCAGACGGTCTACGGTGGATGAATCCAGGACGTCAAGACTTCTACGCTAAGTTGGATCTGCTCCACAAGTAACAGAAGGCCAATCAATATTTGCCCCTTTTAGCGAAGATTCGCGGTCTATGCTAAAACTGGCCACTTACGGAGTATAACGAACTGGCTGGCCTTCGGGGAGTAAATGATCGTCCCTCACCTGGCTCGGCACCTAAAAGGGAAAGAGAGTTGTGGAATGCGATCTTGGAACTTTGGGCCACATCCCAAAAAACAGAAGCACTCGGATAAAAAGCAATTGTTGCATAAATCATACTCTAAACGATGGAATTGTGCCTGGAGAACCGACGATCTTACCAATTTGAAAAGATTTGTCGGGGTCAACCCGCACTGCGGCGGTACCGACAGCTGCATTCCATGGGTACAACATCGTATACGCGAACAACATTCTTAGAACTTTTCGGAAACTATCTATACCCACTCGGACCCAACATGGCATGATTTCTTTTTTTTTTTTTTTTTTTCATAAAGCCGAAACCAAAGCTACCGCCATGTTTATTGCCCTTGAACCCAACCTCAACCGCGGATATTTATGGTTAATACACAGGATATATATCAGTTTCAATCAGACCGATCCAGATAAGATGCACTATTGACCGAACTATCGGTCTGGCATGGCAAATTCTCGCCACGCTAAAGATCCTTGTTGGAACTACATGTACTCGTGTTGTACTAAAAGTCAAAGTGGCCCGGGTGGAGCAAAGGAAAAGCCCGAATCAGAGGCGCTAAAACACTGCCGAAGACTCCGCTCTGGGCCACGGCACGAGCAAATCTATCCTATACAGGGAAGTACTAACAGAATGTGGCTACCATGGGTCTGCCTATAACGAGTCAACGACACCACATTGACAGAATTTCTATCAGACAGTGACGGCATACAATCATTGATTCGCTGCACAGAATATATAACCCACATAGACGACGACGCATGTGGAGTCCACGCCAAGTATCTCCATGACTAGTAGTACTCACAACGCAGAGGATTGCCGCCACTAAGGAACCACATGGGCGAGAGGAATGCAAGAAAAACGTAAGGCACTAGTTGTCTGTTAATACTCCGCAGCGTCCCAGCGAGTCATTCTGATTCTGTTCCAGGACTCAGAGTACGCTATTGAAGACTATCAAACTTTGACTACCACATATTCAGAAGAACGAGGGCCCCATCTCTGTCCACACAGCCCACCAAGCTTTTCATAGATAATCTCCCCACACGCCAAAGTCGTTGATGCCACAATCTTTCATGCAGTTCACTTTACTCTGACCTCTGGTTACGAGCCTGGGGACTGTGCATCATTTGAGGGACAGACTACTGATGCGCAGCCAATCCAGGCTAATGGTAAACCGGATATCACATTCTTTTTGTATACAAGGATCGCTTCGAGTCACTCTTTATTAACCAACTGAACATCACAATGGACGAAATACTGCCACATATTCTATTTCCTCGGGATGATGACGATGGAGTTTCGCGGGGACAACGTGCACTGGTGGTGACAGCCGTGCTAACTGCCATTTCTATTCTCATCGTTGGTATGCGGATGTATGCTAGGATCGGCTTGCTGAAAATGATCGGTCGCGAAGACTACACCATTCTATTTTCTCTGGTAAGCGCCCATGGCTACATAGCTGCTGTCGTACATTCTTCGACTAGTTGCTTACCTATCCCAGGTTCTTGCTATTGTCTACTTAGCTTTAGTTGCTGCCGGTAAGTTCTCTGGGGAGGATTTGTTGGATATTGTCTCGGACCGGTTCTGACTGGCACTAGAGGTACATTTTGGCCTCGGCAAGCATAATTCCGCCCTATCTGATGAAGAATTGAAACAACAATTGAAGGTAAGCAATCATAAAGGCACATCTACTACCTGGCATAACGCTCATCTTCTATTGCTGTAGCGACTTTGGGCGGCCATTCCTATGTACAATGCTAGTCTCGCATTCACCAAATTCTCGATTCTTTTCCAATATCTCCGTATCTTCCCTGACCGTCGATTCCGTACTGCTTGCTGGGTCGTGATGGGTATTGTCGCGTTGTACGGGACTTGGGCTGTTGTGAGTGGCTACGTGAACTGCGTTCCTGTGGCCAAGTTCTGGGATCGAACGATGCCTGGCTCGTGTCTGAGCTTCGAGGGCGTTTGGTTTTTCAATGCATCAATGAATATCGTAACCGACCTCACGCTCCTCATCATGCCGATGCCTCTTCTCTCCCAACTACAGCTCCCGCGCTTACAGAAATTTGCCCTCATGGGTGTTTTCGCCATCGGTGGACTGTAAGTCTCTCCCCTGTAGCAATTGTATATGAAAGGTGATGCTAATTGCAAGCAGGGTCGTCATAACCAGCATCCTGCGACTTTCTAGTCTCCGCTCAGTCGCGAATGATCCCGACACATCCTGTAAGGAAAAGCAAGAGTTACTGCATGGTATCCATCGCTAACCCTAAATCAGACAGCAACGTGGGCGCTGCGTACTGGACTGCAGCGGAGTGCAATGTGGCCATCATCTGCGCCTGTCTTCCCTTCCTGCGGCCGATTGTCAGCTGCCTGTTCCCCAAGCTCCTGTCGACTCACAGCTACAACCGCTACACCCGGAATCCAACCGCTACTGCCACCACTCGGTCTCGAGTAACCCGGATGCAGCTGCCCTCGCAAAATGACGATTTCGGCATGTGCACGATCGATATCGAGCACGGCGAAAGGAAACCTGACGCGTTCAAGGGCATCGAAGTGACCACGGAGATGTACCAAGAAACCTCCAAATACGACGAATCAACCAGTCAACGAAGACTCGTCATGGAACAATGATTGACGCCATTTACACCCCCATTTACATTCTTTGTATATCCTTTTTGTTGCCAGCTTTATACCATTCTGTCCATGTCTTCACGGAAACCACTTTCATTTTGCATACGACTGTTATTTCATGGGAGGCCCAAGTGTACATTATTCGCACGACGATATACCATAATGACCAATTCAACCACACACAACCAAGACAAAAGCACAAACTTCCACCTAAAAAGAAATCCAAGATAATAATATAATACTCACCCCAAATCCACCACAACCTGCCCATCCCTCCCCAACTCCCCCTTAACAACTGTCCCAAACTCCCTACTCAACTCCCCCACCCTCTCCCTAACCCATGCATGGTCCTCATCATCGATCCTCAAAACCTCAACCTCAAACCGCTGACACCTCGTCGGAACAACCTCCAATCTCCCTAAGGACAACCCACCCCTCCCATCCTCCGCGACCATCACCCTCCAAAGCGCCCCAAGATCATTCCTAAACTGTCCATTCAACGCATAATCATCCACGAAATCCCCACACCCATACATAATCAATCGTCCCCGATAAACTTCCACCCCCTGGACATGATGCGCCGAATGCCCATGCACAATATCAACCCCACACTCGTCGACCAGGAACTGGGCCAGTGCGCGGATCTCCCCAGCCGGCCGCCACGCATAGTTAGGTCCCCAGTGCACGGAGAAGATCTTCAGTGCCGGCTTTTCTCCGCTTGTAAGGATAGTCTTGAGCTTTGCGCGAGTGGCGGGAGTGTAATCTATGAAATTGAACTGGGGGATGTTGGCCCATGCGCGTGGGTGGTCTGAGGCGGAGTAGATATGGATTTTATACTCCTCAGTTTCACCACCACCACCACCCGAAGAAGAAGAACCACTACCGCCACTCTCTTCTTTAAACCCTCCCCTCTTCAACCCCAAAACCGCAGGTTCCAAAGGCCTATCCCCAACTCCCGCAAACCCAATCCCTGCCCCCCGAACCCTCTCCACCGTCTCTTGCAGCCCGCCCACCTCAAAATCTAACGTATGATTATTCGCCAAACTAACATAATCAATCTTCCCCGCTTTCAAAACCTCCAAGTTACATGGATGCATCCTATAATTAAAGGCCTTGTTAGGCCATGGCGTGTCCACGGTCGTAACGGCCGTTTCGAGGTTAATGATATTGAGATCCGAGGCGGGGCGGAGGAGGAAAGGGAGGGCAGAGCCCCAGGGGGAAATATGGGAGTAGGATCTTAGGGCTGGGGCGGTTTTGAGGATTTGGTTGATTGTGGTTTGCCAGTCGGGTTGGTTGGGGAGGTGGGTTGGGAGGAGTTGGTCGATTAGCCGGCCGAGCATGACGTCGCCGGTGAAGGTTAGGGTATAGGTTTTTGGAGGTGGCATTCTTTTTTTCTTCTTTTCTCTCTCTCTCTTCTTTTCTTTTGATAGTTGGGTGTGTTGGTTGTATGTATGTATGTATGTATGTATGTGGTAGGGGGAGGTTGGGTTTGGATTGGAGACTAATGCATCTAAGGATGTTATAATCTAATGTATGGAGGAATTAGCGGTCTGTATATAACATCATTATGAGTTCACCCTTCGATCTCGGGCCGTTCCGAATGCACGAGATTGACAGTTGACTGCCGTATGATGTACATAACTAGTATGATACTACCTACATAGTAGTACTGTCGGTCATATCAACGAACACGCAACATAAGACTGTCACGATAAATGTAAAATATCCGATTCCCTATCTATTTCATCGATCTATGTAGGTATGTATGTATGACGTTTCCGAAATTAAAACCTCAATTTGAGGAGAGATCTGTAGTTATCAAACATAAAAGTAAAGAGAAAGCCTCCCTGGACTCTTTTTCTGGTAAACCCGCTATTCCCGCTTCAAATAACACATGGTAATTCACAAACAACCCAAAGTCACTTTTCCCTAAATATGGAAACAAAACCCCGGTTAATCCATCGACTGTTGAAGGTGGTATCTCGTCAGAAAGCAACAGCTGCGCCTGGTGTATTAATGGACAAAGATGAGCAAAAAGCACATTCAGACATCGAGTCTCAGAAAGGAAATAACGATCATTGCCGTCCCAACTCGGCCAATTCTCGCTCCTTCGCTCTCAACATCTCCCGCATCTCCTCAGCTTCCCGCTGCAATTGAGCCCGACGTTCTTCCCGCATACTGTCGAGCTCGGTAACTCCGGGCAAGGGTTGAGGGGGCGGAGGTGCCAGAGCCTGGTGCGAGTGTTGGTGCTGCTGGCGACCCAGTGCGGCGAGTGACGGGTCCAAACGTGAGTCGTCCCGCGTGTTAGGGTGATTGAGAATGGAAGAAATGGAGCTGAGCCGACCCGGTGGTGAGGGGTTGACGGCTGACATGATGGGTGGGAGTTGGTTCGACCCTGACTCTAACGTTGTGGGGATCGCGGCGGCCTCCGCAGATGACGCGGTCTCTGCGAGAGTCCGTTTCTTAGGGTTCGCAGGATTAGGCGAGAGGGATCGTCGAGCGAATTGCGAGACAGGAGAATGGCTGGGAGCGTTGATGCGATCTGGCTCCAACAGCCTCGGCGGAGGAGGGTGGTGCGGCAAGGAAACCGTCGCAGAGCCGAAACCAGTGAAATCAACAGGCGGCGGCGCGAAGCCAAACTGTCTTGGGGCCTGCGGTGAAATGCGATCACCAGGCATATGCTTGTAATGGTCCATGGGCTCCGAACTGTAATAGCGATAATGATCGTCGTGAGCAGCCAATGCAGCAGGAGACGCTTCCGGTGAGGCAGAAGACCCATTCGATGACTGCGTGGCCCCTGTCGGAGAATGCTCTCGCAGCGCCGGCACAACCCTTTTCCGTCGTTTGATGATAGTCTTCTTCATCGTGGTAGGCCGATAACAGCCGTGAAGTTTGTAATACAGACCTAATTTCTTTGTCAGTACAATTACGGCTTTTGTTATAATAGGAGGAAATTTTGAGAAAAAAAAAAAAAAGACATAAAACATACCACACGCATTACAGATTGGGTGACCATTTTCGTCCCGTCGCCAAAGTGGAGTTACCGTAGTACCGCAATTTTGGCAGGATACCAACATGTTGCCTTCTGTTGTTGTCGTTGTAGTTGCTGGGGTGCCATTCTTTACCGATAAATCGGGCTCCTGCAGAGGAGGCTTTTCACTGTCTGAAGTTGTTGCTCGATTCCAAGCATGCACAGGGATCGTACCCCGGGGAGTCGACTTGTACACACGGTTGTTGTAAGCGGGGCACCCGTCACACCCCTCAGCCCCTCCTGTACCATTGCAATTACCTCCACCAGGACACGACCCTTTTGAACCATGACAACCTCCTCCCTCGTGCGATGAGGGAGCAGGTGAATCGTGGGGAGGATGCGAAGGATTGCTTTGTGGTTGCGTAATTTCTGGACTTGTCTGTACACGGTTGCGCTTCGTCGGTCGAGCAACGTTACGAGCCTTCAAATAAAGACCGCAAGCATTGCATATCATAGCTCCTGTTGGAGAACGCCGCCATAATGGGGTGCTTTTTGTCCCGCAATTACTGTGAAGCGTCTCAAGTCAGTACGAACGTGTACGGAACTGTAGGTCAAGGCGGAAGACCGAATACTAACCTGCACGAATGTCCTAGAAATGAAGTGTCTTTTTGGGACTTCGGCGACGATGCCTTCTCTGATGGGTTTGCACCAGTTTCTGACGGATATGGTGTCGACGCATCCATGAACTTGTCTGCTTCGTAGGGACCACGACTAGGAATTTCTTCGTAGCGTCTGGGCCCTGTTTCATCACGAAGTCGGTCGATGGGATGTTCCCGACCCGCCTGGGCCGATGATATTAACTGCTGCGCAGCATCAAGGTCCTCTGCGGATGGGTGTCGCGCAACAACGTCCGGATTCCGGGGGAGCGATCGTACCGTCTCCATCTGCGGGAGGGACGCTAACATTGCCACCGCTGTCAAAAAATGGTATGTTCTTTTTTCTTGGTGTTCCGGGATGAGGACAACCCAGGAAAGGGCAGTATAGACCCCAGAGATAAAGCGAATGTCCGTTCGAGGCGGGTTATCGAAATAAGGGGAGGATGGGGGTAGGTTGCACCACAGTCGGGGTTGTAATGTATTGTATCACAAAGTCAAAAGTCGGTCAAGATGACAGTGCAGGAGAAAAAAGAAAAGTTAAAACGCCTAACTCGAAGGGCGAACCGGTAGAGTAAAAAAGCTGCAGCTAGTGAGACTCCTAAACCAACCAAGCGGAGCCGGGGAAGAGAGACCGATTATCCCTGACAGCGGATCAGAGATAATAGGGTGGAGTCGGATCCCCGAGGGGTGAGCGATCAAGAAAGTAAAGAGGGAAAGGTATTCGACTAGAAGGAGATTGGAAAGAGACACCTGATATGCCACGAAGGTGGTTTTGTTGGCCAATCCGAGACGAGGCTGGGTGGCGATCTGGCGTGACGCCAGGTGGTGGTTGAGACGGTTATCGGTGCTGGATTTGAATTTTTTTTTTTTCTATTTTGGTGAGAATGGAGACGACAATCGAGATTACAATGAATAATAGAGTTAAGGGGAATGAAGAGCCAGCTGAAAGACTCGACAGGTGGAAGCAGGGGATGGAATGTAGAAGACGAAAAGTGAAAGCGTAGACAAGAAAGATCGACGGAGAAGGGCGATCAATCAATCCGATCAGATATGATGTGTGGAGGTGGCCAGGGTTTCAAAATAAAAATAAAATAAAATACAAAATAATTTAAAAACACGAGTTTTCTGCAGAAGGGACAGGAAGGGGGGGGGGGAATGACGACGTGGAAAGGATGAAGAATGAGGCGTGAGAGATAGATTGATTGATAAAGAACGAGGACACAGAATTGGGAAAGGCGGAAGAAGTGGGTAATAATGATGACGCTGCTGAAGATGAAAGGAAAAGAAAGGGCCAGACCACCACTTACCTGTACGTTTTCTATTCTTGTTGCCTGGAAAAAAAGTTCCCAAGTCGCATTCCCCCAGTCCCAACAGTGTGGTCTTATCGAAGGACGTTTCGTTATCGATCTCCAGGGGGGTAGGAGGATCTACACCGGCCTTTCTTGTTGGTATTTTTTGCTTTTTCCCCTGCAGTGGATTGTGTTTTGGGATTGTTCTGTTCGTGTCTTTTCCCAAGAAGTTGGGGAAGGATTGCTTTTGTTGAATTTGGTTATTTTACAAAACTTTGCTTTTGTGGTAAATTTCTGTTTAATTTTTTTTGGCTAACAGTAAAGTCACATTCCCTTCTTTCGTTTTCCCTTTTTATTGCATCCATCATGATTGCTCTGCTTCTCCCCAGATCGTATCATCCGGCTCCACCGCTACCCCATCCGGTCTAGCGTTCTGGGTCTAGTGGGAATGCACCTTCCCAGAACAGTACCTAGTCTGCCGGTCATGAAAATAAGCCTGATTCTCTCGTCTGTCATTCGTCCAACACCAAATTTCTCTCAAGTCAGCATTATTTTCGCCACGCTGATAGGATAATCGGATGCCTTCCATGTCCTTCTTGATGTTCTAATCTATCAACATCTCCACCCAATAGATCCTCACTGAAGAGTTCTCCTCGGCTCACGCCGATTTTTAGCCACCGGTCACTAGGGGACCGGACGCATTAAGTCACATAATGCCAAATTGAAATTACCCAGACACTAGTCCGGGTAACTATTTGTTATCTCGTCCCGCCGGCGAGGGAAACTTCACGCCCCCGTTCAATCTTCCACCGTCGTGATTGGTTCACACGTCACCAACAGCGCCTCTTCGGTCGGTGCTGATTCGTTCCGTACTCGTTCCTAATTCACGATTGATAATCTTCTCAGCTCTTTTGTGAGGTCCTCGGGGCCCGTTCCCCGATTTTGACACCTTGTCCCTTTTCCGGGTCCCAAATGGCCTTGATTCAAAAGTACGGATGGCGTATTATTTTTATTCTTATTTTTATATAATTTTTTTTATCAAGTCGATACGTAACATGTTTATCACGAGTACGGATACGCCATGAGTTGTAGCGATTATCAATATCATATCATTCCACCAGAAATTCATCACTCCAGTGTTCCCGTCCACGTTTGCAAACCATGGCGTGATTTATCAGGAGATTGATACATATGATGATACCGACTGTACAAACCTTATGATCAGACTTCACCCTCAACTAGTCTCAACACGCGTAAATCCGCGAACCTGAGTACAAACCTAACAACTACTTAGTCCTTATTAGCATCTAGTAGTCCAGGGTATACACTGATACAGACAATAACCCGGTCCCATCGGACTTAAGTTTCCCCCGGATGGTCGTCATCAATATCCCCGAATAGCCCGGATAGGCCTATCTCCGAATCTAATCTATCGATCCATCTGGTCTTGGCTCGAATGACCTTTCTCCTCGAATCTCTTGGGTAGGTGAATACGGAGTACAGGTCCACTAGAGCCCAATTGCATGCATGTCATTAGTCACCAAAGCAAAACCGCGCAGCCTTTTACCCGGAAGTTGACGCTGACATCATGACGGTCACACGAGTTAATTTACGGATTCCCTGATTATCTTACATCCGTGGCGTGGACTAATTTCTTAGTCGATAATTAAGTCCAGTCTTGGTGGTCGGGACTTAACGAATAACCCTGCATTAGATCCTGGGGTTTTGCGGCGGGGAGAAAATCACTAAAGTGGTAGTGCTTAGACTTGGGAAGTTAGTAGGGGGTTGTTTGATGGGTGGTGAGATGTTTTCGTAATCTCTCTCTCTTTGGTGTACGTTTTTTAGTACAGTAAACGCCCTCTATAAGCAATCCCCTGCTATAAGTAATTCAAATGGTTTACTCCATTAACTGCTTATAGAGGGGGTTTACTGTGCATTCCTAAACGGCAGATGGAACGTAAGCCTAGTGATGCTGTTGGGGAAGTAGCCATCTTATCTCCTACCAAATTGGATACGTTGATCATGTGCTTATGAATAAGGCTGAATATGCGTTGGGGGTCTTAGACTCAGGTAGTACTTACGTGGACTTGTCAGATTATCTCTCTTGTGGGTTTGCTCGGCAATTGACTGGTTTTATACTTCCGGTTTGTACAATATTGGTTCGATTGATCTGTTTCTGCTCCGTTCGCTCGATCACTAGACTTGGTGCAGTGAGGGTATTCGTTTTCACTTTTTTTATTGCTTTCACTTTAGATATAATTTTTTTTCTTTCTTTTTAAAGCCTCTCGCCTTTGTTTCCTATATTTTTTTACTTTTTTGTCATGCTCCTTATATTACCACATAGGTGTTTATCATGGCTTCAATTCTCGAGTATTGAAGATTCAACGTCTTACGCAGACAGCGCTATGGTAACAGACCAAAAGTTTACACACAGTGCCACGCAATCGGGTTATCCGATGTCTCCAAAAGTTTAAATAACATAAAATTATACGACGAACCACCTATAGTACAAGGTCCACAGGGAGAAAGAAAAGCAAAGTATAAACCCGTCCGTCCAAAATCGGACTCGAGAAAGAAAAATAATTATCCATGATCCACTCTCAAAGATAGACAAATAGCCATAATCCACATGGCTAACTCGCCTGCATAATTTCTGTCGCTATCTTTGCAGATGGCGAATCCATTGAGTCGTCGCACAGATATTCATCGCACTCGTCGATCGTCGCACATCACCTAGGGGGAAGAGAACTTTTTTTTTTCCCCTCTCTCCCCATGCTTTCACCACTCCAAGTCTATCCGCGGCGCATTTCGCTTTATGCATCCGTGGGGCTACACGGCGAATATCGATCGGTGTAAGCCAATCTAAATTGTACGCTATGCTACTGCCCCGTCACCGGACCAAACGTTTATCGGCCGCGTTTAGACTTGCTCGGCGCCCCATCCCTGGTCGCTCTCGCGCATGTTCGAGGGGGGTTCAATTGAGGGGATGAACTCCAGGGCCAAGTATCCCACGCCGATGAATCCGACGATAGAGCCAGCAATGTAGCGCAACACGTGGTCGTGCAGCAGAATCGAACCAACGAAGATGTAGACTAACCAAATGATTAGCACCTAATGGATAGGTGTGGTAATGCAGCTAAGAATGGATACTCACAGATACCGCGGCCAAGGAAGGAAAACAAGAAAGAAGCATAGCGGTAGACATAGTCCGGGACGTTGGGCAGGAATTCCAGCCCAGCGACAACTAATGAGCAGCGATATATCAATATCCACAGGCCAACGGAGGGGCAAACAGGTTTATCTTACGGAGACCAAACACAATCACATAACCACCAACGATGATGGAGCTCATGGACGGAGGGAAGAACTGGGAGATACCGCCCAGAACCATAATCACGCCTACGGCGATGTTGACAAGTCGGCTGCAGACAGTCAGTCCCTAGCTCCATTCACGCAGCCACGAATACTCGTAAGATGCGAGACACAGAACATACAAGATATTAGAAAGATCCATTTTGAATGTGTGAGCTGGATAAGTTCCTTCGGTCTACGCAATCGATTCGTGGGATATGCAGATAGAGCGGTAATTTGGGAGTGCGATCGCAAGGAAGGATTGGCAGGTGGATGTCAGGAGCGAGAGCGTTTGTAGCTTCTTGGATTGAGGACAAAGCAACAATCAAGTCGGGGAATTTCGTAGCCTGGCCCGCGCGGTAGGTAGGCGAACGTAAATAGCTGATAGATAGGTCAGGATGAGGTCTGAAGTGGTCGCATGCCCGGAGCTCGACTCGATTGACAAATGGACCAAGCGAGAACTTACAAAGTAAGGGAAAAGAGTCTTTTGTTAGAACAAAGCTTCTTTAGTAAAGGAAAAAAGAGCAGAGAGGAGAGAGAGAACAGGGAAACAAGGACGGAGAGACTCCAAGCACTCCGCCGTCGCAAGCAGCGGGTCTGCCAAGACCAACAATTGATGACTGAGCACGCCTAACCGGAACTGGCGTAGTGCCCACGTCTTCCATAAACGGCAATAGACGTAAGACGCTTCCATCTCATTTAAATCACTTCTAGGGACGTTTCAATGATAAGTTTGAATGTCGAACTCAACTGAACTGCTGTCATGTTTCACACACACATTCTTTAGACACACAACATGTACATTTCTTCAAAATCTCATTGCTCGAGCTCCACAGTCTGCAATATGCAAGGTAGATAAACTGATTCCCAACACTCACTGGGTTAATCTTATGTAAAACGTTGGATTCGATCAAGTACATACTGGTTTTACCAATACAAAGAGGCATTGAAGATGGTAATCCGGACCTTGCCCTGTAGGGGAGACATATATTGGAGAAACTTATCTAGGTAGCACAAAGCTAGGGATCATCTGCAGTCCAGAACTGCATCAGCATGTATGGATGAGTACTTACCATGCGTTTGAATACCGTGCATTAGTCAATGCGAGGAGTTGAAAGGACGGAATAAAGGAGCCGACAGGGAATAGCTGCCTAACGCGAACTACCATTACAGAATAATACTGAAAGCTCTCCATCCCATACCGGGGGCCCTATCTTTTTGCCAATAGCTTCGCCTTTTAGTGTAACCCTAATTTATTGCTCGAATAGGGACTGTGTAGCTTTAACTATTGGTTTATATGAGCATAGATATATCTCTAACGCTCGGAAAGGGCAGGTTGGACTCCTGAGATGAGCTTTACAGACAAACCTATTGTTCGTTAACAACCACTACCAATATACAAGGAAGCTATATACTCATTGCTGATAATCCCTCAAGCTTTTCCCATCTGATTCATATATAAGATGGACTTCCTACTAGTATCTTGGCTCGAAGCCCTAGATACCTCCCTCATAATGCTCATCTTGTTGTCCCGAGGTGATTCGTCAAACCGCTGCATCGAAGAGTTTTCACTCATTTGTTTTTGTTCATTGCTCCTTCAACTAACGATGCGTAGTGTAAGTCTCACAGCCCTGCGCCCTTCTACAGAGCTCTTGATCCAACCATACTGCGCTAATCACTTTAGTCCCCAGCTGTAAGCTGGTATCTCCCCATTCACTTAACCATTCTTAGTATTAAGACTACAAGCAAGACAGGGCAAGGTAGGGCTCCGCCGACTCGAACGAAGAAAAGTAGGCCTGCGGGTGGGAAAGCTATTACTTGAAATCGCATAGTTATCCATATAATAGTTTCAACAAGATTTGATAGTCTTTGGTAGTTATATTCCTTCTTTTTCCACAAAGTGTACATGAATATATAGTTCTAACCAAGCAGTTCTAATTCTAATTCTATAAAGTTCGAACAATAGAAAACCAGGAGCGGACTTATACAAAGACTCCACCCCAATCATAGCCATTTGAATTAGCCAATTAATTCCTCCAATCAGTAGGTCAGCTACTTCAAGCCAAAAGCCATATAGGTCCCTCACTTGAGCAACCCAATAGTGCTAAATGGAATGATAGCATCATTAAGTCCCGCCGCTGAGCGGTACATCATCGGGTACACACACATCGGGGTAGGCCATATCAGAAATATTGCAACCCAGGTAAAGCCTAATACCCTTTCTGCCAGTACCGGAAGTCTTGCGTTGGCGTATACCGTGATATAGCTGTACATCTTCATGGCCGCATCCTCCAACACGATGTCAAAGGCCTGAGTACAGAAAAAGGGGATCGTGCCAGACTTGCGGACTGGAATGCCGGCCGAGATGTCGATGAGGAAATGCATGACTGCGGAAAGGGCGAATATGGTTATTGCCCTGGCGTACTTTGGAATTGGACCCCAGCGCGCTCAAATCTTGAAGACACTGCGCAGGATAAAGTCGGAGATAGAATTGAACTTGTGGGTGTTTGCTTGATGCCAAAAAAGGCTGCAGGAGAGATGGATAGTACGTTTGTGTGAGTGATTTTTTCTCACAGATTTACAATAGTGGTTGGGGTATTTGTGTACTCACCTCCAAAAACGCCTCAAAGAGTATGCCTCCAGGGGTGATCCATGGAATGGTGGCCAGTCTCTAGGAGCGCTTAGACCGAGCAGATTGCCAACCAAGGCGAAGAGGTTATAGAAGCCTCTTTGAGAACATATCAGACCGAGTATAACTCCAACACCCCCGGAGGTTCTCATAAGAAGCTCGTTGCGAGAGACATCATGGAAACGTCTGGAAAGCGGGATGTTCTGCTCTGAGAAGTATTCGCGAACCATAGCTGGATCTGCGCCCGCATCCATTGCATCGAGTATCAGTTAGCAGAGAAGAACTGTCAGTACAGTATTCCGAATGAATCGGGTCCGATATGGGACATAGTTGGGGTCATTGTTCGAAAATCGAGGTACGTGTCTGACTTCGTGTGGAGTGCCACAGAACCGGGCTGTAAATGTTGATGAAAGGCCAAACTTCAACTTTCCTTTCCAAGAAATGCCTTCCTTCGTCACTGAAGACTTCTGGCGTCTTATAACTTCATCTTCATTCTCCAATTGAGGGGGTTTGGTTGCGGACACAATTCTCTCAAAAGGCCATGGACTTAGCAGTGCAATATCAATATAATGGAAGGAGAGCGTCACCGCATATCCGCCTACCAAAGACGCCCAGGCGGAGCGCATGAGGTACGTGGGAGATGTCGTTATGCATTGCCACATACATAGATAAATGATGAGCAGGCCACCCAGCCGAATTGGAGATTTTGGATTCATGAAGCCCAATACCGTTGCGCAAACGGTCATTTCTAAGAAGAGGAGAAATGTTGAATGGGGCTTCATATCGAGGTAGAAGTACGGACGAGGGTGGAATTCGACTGAGGGAAGTAGAGCTAAACAGGAACTATGGTGTCTATATGTACTGTCAAGAATAGGCTCTGTTGGCTTAACGCTTTAGGGCTCTTTCGCTCCCCTAGGTTGTTGGGGATCTAGCTCTTCGTTTCTTGTCATATAGCATCAACATATTAGACGATCTGACCAATAACGGCCATTCATCAAGTCTTGTTGGTGATGATATTTTACGGCGATTTAGGGACCGAAGTAATTTGTTGTTACCAGACTCTAAATCTATAGACTCGGTGAGAGAGTTGCAATGTTGGAGTTATTCTTCTACTTCAAATACATAACATGGTTTATTTATGAGAAGGGCTACTCTGCAAGGAAGGCGAAACAATACTACGGGGAATCGTTATCTAAACCAGGCATAGTTGAGTGTATTTAGTAAAAGTTTTAGTTGTAGCTATGCTTGCCCTATGTGCACGAGATATACTACATCAACTGCGGCAATCAAATGCTTAGGAGCTCCCCTTGCCTTTTGTCTAACCTCGCAGCAGACAAGCCATTGGCCAATCTGCTCATCTTCATTGAATCACGTTTCAGGTCGGCGTAGATGGCATCCAAATCGGTGCCAATCCCAACCTGATCTGCCGTTTGCAGGCTGCGTTTGTCAACAAACGGAGCAATTTCAGGCCACACACTCTGTACATTATTGAAAAAAAGATCGGCACCTAAATCGCCGAGACCCTTAATCTCCTTGATGAGTTTTCTTACTTCGTCCCGGTTGTGATGTGCCTCTTCCAATAGATTATTGAGATCACCATCTAAGCGTTCTCAGGGTTAGTCAAGCAACAATATTTCACATCTATAACGGTCTAGACGAGAGTCGATTGTACGTACCGTATTTGCCATCAACTAATTCTGCCAATTCTCCTAAATTAGTAGCGCCCTGCTCCCTATACCGATTATACCCTCCATCCTTCAGAATCATTGTGCGCTCCTCCCAGCTACTATCCCCTAATTTGCGGATATCATGATACCCAGCATCAATAACCTTGGTTATTGTGCGCTGAGTCAGATCATGCGAGATCGGGCGCGACTTCAGCATGGCATCAATAACCATCGCCAGTAGTGTCTCCGGTGATGCTGTAAGAGGCTTCTGGGCAATCTTTGTGCCATCAAGGGGGCACCGGCCCAGTTTGTCAACAGCCTTTTGTACCTTTGGCCCGTGCTTGCCTGTGTCTTCCTCATTTTCTTCCTTTTCTTTTTCTTCTTCTTCTTCTTCTTCTTCCTCCTCCTCCTCCTCCCCCTTCTCCTCTACTCCTTCGTCATCTTCATTATTGTCGTTTCCTCCCTCAATTTCGTCCTCTTCGCCCTCTTCGTACACATCGCTAAGCTCTTCATCCTCATCATCATTTACTTCGCCTTGGGCATTTATCTCATCCTCCTCGGCCGGTGTTTCATTGGGCTTAGACGCTTTGCTAGGTGGCTGTTGTTTTCCTGTCTCGAATTCTTGCTGAGGAGTTGCTGGTTCCAGCTCAGGATATTTTTCATCGCGCTTGCGCTTTTGAGGTTCGGACGTGTCGGAGTAGTCTTCTTCGACTTTGGGGGGTTTGTAAGTCATGACTGGACGGATTATCCTTTTAGAGACACTGGAAGAATAATCCAACAGTTATTCAATCGAGCATGCACAGTTTGATAGCAATTGGGCAACAATCTGATGCGGTTGTGGAAAATATTGTGGTAAAGAGTGAAGTCTATATACTCTTCCTGTCCGGAGGTGACGTCGTTATGATGCTCATCATCCGCGACCTCGTTTTTAGGGTTTGGACTATTTTTTACTAAAACATTTGTGAATCCCTACTACTGTATAGATAATATTTGCTGTCATTCTGTTTCGTTGCGGTTCGTTTGTGTACATAATTAATCCGTATATCTCAGACCTCGTGCATTGACCCTACAACTTAGCCCGACCCTTCTGTTTCAAGATGCCGTTAACCAAGTCGACGGCCTCCGCGGCACAGCCGAAGGAAGCTTGATATCCAAATCCTCCATGGCCGTAGTTATGCACGACCGAGACGCCATTAACCTTATCTGCTTCAATACGTGGGCCGTCCTCACGGAAAGGCCGTAGCCCAACGCCATGTCTGATAACATCTAATCCCTCAATTCCTTGGCCCTCACCTACGAGTTGCGGAACGAGAGCAATGGCCCGCTTCATGATGCGCACGGCCAGGTTCGGGTCAGGTAGCGGATCCCACTGGTCCTTCTGATACGAACCTCCGATGACAGTTCCGCCGCCCGCTGCCCGGGTCATCATGTAGGTTACCTCATCCTCGGCGTCATCGGTGCCGGAGATTGAGAACATTGCTCCAGGGTCGTTGCGGACCACGACGACTTGGCCACGGATGGGGTGGAGCTTGTCGTCGTTGACTCCACCTAGCTTTCTGGATGCAAGGCCAGTGCAGTTGACTACCACGTCGGCTTTCTTTCCTGAATGATGGAAGCTGGCTGCGTCGGCCACATGGTTGATCACTGCTCGTTTGAAGATCACCCCGGTCTTGCGACATTGGCCAATTAACCAAGGCAGGTAGATTGCTGTGTTGATGCAAACGGAAGTAAACACCGAGGCGTTGTCAATGCCGGGGGCCAGCTCATTGTCGGGGAAGTTGCGGAACTGGGATATTGATCAGCGCGGAGGTAATTCCGATGAAAGCGTGAATAATCAACGTACATCCGGTACGACTTCTTTATACCAAGGCTCCTTCTGCACCAATTCGGAGAACCAATCCCCAGTTGCTGATCCCTGATCTTTTGTACGATTATAGACAATCGCATCTGACGCGATCTACTTAGTTAATGTACAAGATAAAACGCGTGAGAGACCACATACCTTGGAAATGGATTCCAGCCTCCGGATACTTCTCTGTTATCTCCTTAAGGACAGGCCAGGTGTTTCGTTCCCATTTTCCATGGGAGCTACTGGCTTTGCCCACCCTGTTCTTGATGAGCACAGATTTCTTTCATATAAAGATATAGCAGTTTACCCCTGTAGAACGTACGGAAGATAATTGGCACCTGCCCAAGGTGAGGCGTATTCTATATCGTAGTCACCCGGCATATGTTTGGCAAGCACTGTGATTGAGTTGGAGGCATCTTTGGACAGGAGATATGCCGTTGTGAGTCCCGACACTCCGGCTCTGTTGGGTTGCTATCAGTTTGGCGCTGGAAAGTGAGGAGAGTGTGGGGTTGGCCGTACCCCAGGATCACTATGTTATTTGTGGACATGACTGTTTCTTTGGACAGGATTTCGGGATTATTGTATGTCTGGATATTTTAATTGGAACTGAAATGAAGACTATATAAGGAGAAGATAGGAATTGAAGGCCCCGTACATGGTGAGTTGAATTAAATAGTCGTCATTATCAAGGATACAAATCCCGCCGGGGAAGTTGTCCGTTGGATTATCAGCACTTGACTCTAATCGACCGGGAATGATTGGCCCAGAAATTCCGGCGGACAACAGGAAGTAAATTACCGGGAGTGGTGGGGGGGCGATTTAGGGCATCGGGACAGGTACATACCTGCACCTACCTACGGATTAAGATAATGGGCGATATAACGTTCTGGAATGATTCGTAATATAGTTAATGTAATGATATGCAGAGAAACTGTCCGAATTAAAATAGAAACCTTTTCAACTCCTATCTCAGGCTTGAGTATTACCTAGAAGGGTATGTCAAAAGTGACGGGTCCTCCCGGCATCGCAAAAGCGCGCGTCTGTATCTTTCGTCATTATCGGAAGGTAGGCGTGTCTGCACGTAGTGCTGACCAATCAAAGAGAAGATTAGGCTTCACCGCCTCCTCGGATCACGACCGCTGTTCGTGTGTTTCCTCCCGCAGTCCCCGTACCAGAAAAAGTATTGAGAAACTTCCTGCTGCTTTTCCTCTTTTTTTCCCTTTTCCACTTTCACTAAGCTGTCAGGGTGACTTTTTTTAACTCTCTCTTGCCTTGTCCCTTATATCCCTCTGCTCGGCGAAGCTCTCCGACTGTCTCCCTCACCAATGAGGGCCTTTCGTCGAGCAGAGCTACTCAATCATGACGGATGTTCCAACCGGTGGCAGAATCGTGCCCGTAGTCAAGGCCCATCAGCATTACTCCATTAGTCCTGCCGATGAGGCCGTGGCCGACCAACGCCCCCCAACACAACAGCTCCCAACCCAACCACCACAACCGCAACAAGAAGACGATAGCGATGGACGTTCAAGTCAGAAGCTACCACCCCAGTCGCAGGCGAAATCGTCAAAAAGCACGCGCAGCAAGAATGTGGAGACGGAATGCCTGGAGCTTCCGTGTCTCAACAAACTAGGGCTCTATGCTCTTCCTACAGAGGGCGATGGTAAAACTTCCTTGCCATTGGACTTTCAATTCATATAATATATACTGTTGCCATCGCAATGGGGATCGTATACTTTGGAATTTCCTGACGTCTCTAACGGTGACTTGTAGGCAATTGCTTATATTACGCCCTCTCTGACCAACTATATGGAGATTTCACTCATGCCGACGAGATCCGTGTCCGTCTCGCAGATCACATCGCTGCCAATAAAGATTACTTTATGAATTTTATAGCCGCCGTTGGTGGAGAGCGCAGAGCGCCCAGGCGAGCGGCAGCGTCGGCGGCTCGATATTCTTACTGTTCCTCCTCCTCAGCCAGTCCCGCGCCTCCGTCTTCCAAGGATAAAGAGCGGAGCTTTGATTCCAAGGTGGCGGAGTCTCGGAAAAAGGGCGTTTGGGGAGGAGCAGAAGAGATCCAGGCATTTTGCCAGTCGTATAAAAGGGATGTCAATGTCTACACGATGTATGGCATTCAGAACTTCCGCGACGTTCATGCTTCAGATGACGAAGAGAGGGAAGCCGTGCATATTGCATTTCATGTAAGGCATTGATCTTGTTCCTTATGGTATCGTTCTCTGATTTGTATAGGATTTCCACCATTATTCTTCTGTACGGCATACGGAAGGCCCCCACACTGGCTTGCCGTGTATACCCAGAGCTGAGCAGACAGTCCACAAAGAAGCGTCGACGACTGGACCCACTGTCGTAGATATGGCTAGCCCATGGAAAATATCGGCCATCCAGGAGGGTCTTGGTGGCAAGTATGACCGGGACACCATCGTAGGAATGCTTCAACAATGTCGCGGTAACATCGACAGGGCATTCGAGAATCTACTTGGCGAAGATACTAGTGCACACCCGGCAGAGACTTCTGCTTCTAAAGCCATCATGAAATCTCGCCTTCAACAACCGTCCTCACGGTCTTCGTCTCCCTTCAGCACCGGTAGCAAGCGCTCCGCAGATGAGAGTGAACTTGAGGATAACCCTCAACCGGTTATGCGGGGTAACCGAGCCAGAGATCAAAAACGGCGTATCCTTCCTGATGTAACGGTTGGGATTGCCTTCCGAGACGATCAGAATGACCTTGTTTCCTTGCGGTTACGAGTCAGCCCGGATGCGGTCGCAGAAAAGGCAATGACTGCAGAAACCCCTAGCCAGACAGAAAGTGACTCCTTCGAGTCAGGATCGGGATCCGACAGAAGTGGAGACCTAGAGAAAGACAAGAAGTCCAGGATTAAGCAGAAACCAGCTTCTAGCGAGCCCGCCACCCAGAAGAACGAACCAAAGGAAGAGCCGAAGCCACGGCGGAGCCAACGTCTCACCAAGAGTCGGAACGCTCCAAAACCTGTATAGGGTCTGTGTGCTTCTCGCTTAATCATTCTTTCTGATCTTCTGGATCAAATTCGTATTATGCTATGACCGTAACGACACTGATATCCACACTTGGCTTCGACCATGTTTACTGGGCTTTCATAATAAGCACGTTGGGCGTTTTTGCCGCTTTGGTTAAGAGAGTCGGCTATCTATTTCCTATTAACGACTGAGCGGGTTTTGCTTCCATTTTTCTCCGATATCTACCCACACAATTTCACACTACCTATCTGCGATAGTCAGCCACGATTTCACCACTCGAGCATACGATATTTCTTGACGAGGCGTTGTTGGGGGGTTTTGCATTCATCTTGGTCTTGCATTGGGTTTGCGCGTGAAACAAAAAAGAACTTCCTTTTCTCAGTTCGGCGGTCTTCTCTGATTTGGGTTTCTTATTTCATGCATGCAGGACTGAAAGATCTGTACAGCCATAAAAATCATGAACAGGTTGCATCTTGGGGCGGTGAAGAATCTTTTCTACGCTTTTTTTTCCTTTTCTATCTTACCACTTTTCGGATTTCCTAGACGATTCGAGTTTCCTGGGACCATGTCAGACGGGATTGGTCAATTTTAAACATGCCATCAATTTCATTGACATAGATCTTTGAATGATTGATAGCTCGGGTAGACGAGCTTTTACTTGAATACATCATCGAATACCTTGGTTTACTTCCCATATTCATGAAACATCGTAGAAACACTCGTGCTTAGGGTATGTCTAGGAATCATTCGGTACAACACAGTGATATAAGGAACTGTAATATAGATGCTCCCATATCAAATCAATCATAATTATTGGTATTTTGGTGTTTTGGATTCCAAGAGCTAGACCAGCCAGCCGCTCACCGAGGAACTATGCCGATGAATGAAGACTTTACAGACCTTGAACTTCGAGTTCAAACGTAGTACATTAAGACTAGTAAATACAGATCGCTAGGATATATTGTACAATATATATTCACAAGACTGAGAAAATGAAAACACAAGAGAAAATAAATGAAAGTGGAAGTCGAAGAGAATGAGGATAGTAGATATATGTTTGAAAAGCTGACGTGACGATATTCATATATACATTACATTGTACTTAATATGAGAAAGAAAGAAAGAAAGAAAGAAAGAAAGAAGAAAGAAGAAAGATTGCTGCTTGTCATGAGAAGGGTATATGTAATCTATCGTCGAAGAATTTAAGAATAAATCGTCACAAGAACGAAGGGTGCTGAAAAGACTTGCAGGGGAAGGCCTTATCTTCCCACCAGAGCACGATCATCAGTGTCCTGACGATCTTGCGTATTGACATGGGCCCTGCCCATGGGCATGAGGTTGGATGTCGTGATTATTTGCAGACATAGCGGTGTGTCTAGCATCATGATCGTAATGCGCAGTAGACGGATGTTCGGTCGGAGCCGTGGAAAACTCTTTAATATTCGGTTCCCTTGGTTGGGAACTAGCTCAGAACCGTGCGTGGGTTGGTTCTGGCTTGGGTGGAGCGTCCAGCGAGTGGAATTTCGGATCGACTCTTTTCAACCTCCGAAGCGATTGTTCATAAGGATAGTGTAGATATTCTTTGTTCCGTCTCAACGAATGGACTTTCGGCTGAATGCGGGATCTGGTCGAAGCCGAACACCAGGAGAATAACAGAGGTTATACAGTTCGTCGACGTAAGTGTTGAAAGCCATTTCACCGGCAACAACAGTCGTCTGTGAAGCATGTCTTCCCAATGTGGGTTCAAAGGCCGGTTCGGCCAACTTAGCGACATCCACTTTGACTTCTTTACGGACCATGATCTCAGGCGTGAGAGTGTTGTCGGAGAGAGACTCTTGCGAGTCAGTCTTGAGCATTGAATCGGGCAGTTTGCGGGGGTTCCAGAAGCGAATCTTGGAGCGTATGGAGTCAGTAAAGTCGGAGTCTGTGGATGAGATTGGGCGAGTCTTTGAGTATAAAAGGTCTTCGCTGAGTTCTTTAGCGAAACCGTCACTCTCGCTGAGGCCATCGTTCGTCTGCTGCTGTACGCGGAAAAGACGGAGAGGGGTAAAGTTGTAGTCTGGGTTTGAGATTTGTGTATCTAGAGATCCTACCACGCAGAATGGCAGGAGGATGCAGTTCTGTCCATCTGAGATCCTATTGATACGGCAGGGAGCGATGAGGGGCCGAGCGGAGAATTTAGATGCTAGGTTGACATCCGGCGGAAGAGAAGAAGAAAGAGCCGTTATCGCGTGGATTAGCTGCTCGCGGAATTCGTCGATATCCTTGTAGGCTCGCGCATTTTCCGATTTCAACCAATTTAGGCAAGTTGACATGGTCCACCCTTCCATATGTGCTATCATTTCCAGATGTTTAATTTGGAGACGCTTAGTCGATAAAGTCGACGATGGTAAGGGGTTGCCGGTACCCTTGGCAGTCAACACTTCGAAATGGTCATGGATCGTAGGGCGCATGATAAACGAGATAAGGTGGACTCCGGGTTCGAATATACGGTGTGACGATGCGTAGTCTCTCATGTCCTTGAGATGGGTTCCCAAGCTTAAGGCAGGCACGTGAATCCGACGAGACAAGATGGAGGTAACGTTTTCAATGGTTGTAAATCGGAAACCTGCTGCTGCCATACGGCTAGCTTCGTGTTTCTTCAGTTGACGCACTGTGAACAAGAGTTGACCTTTTCCTGCGCGTATCATCGAGTACCCCATCGCACGGGAGAAGCGCGACGATGGAGTAGACGTTGCCAAAACGTGGTCATATAGCATTCCCATATCCTGTAACGGCTGTCGAACTTCATCGGCCAGGTCCTGGGCGGTCACACAAAAGTGGCGTTTGAATAGATCATCGAAGTGCGGTTGCAATTCAGCCTCTTGGTCCGAGACAACTCCCTTGGAGATATAATGCGCCAATGTGGCTTCATCTGACTCTATTCGGCCTCTCATGAGGGGCACAGCGTCTCTCACTAGTTTCCAGTTTCTACTCGCTCGAACAGCCCAGAGGAAAGCAGGGTGCGTCCGCGTAAGATCGTCTTCATTAAATGTCTAAAGAGGAAGTATACTGGTTAGTGATGGCCAGAAAACCGCACCGAGGATCATCGAAAAACAACTTACCCTGCCAATGTACCGGTCAACGATCTTCCGGCTTGGAAGTAATGCATGTGGTGTGACCATGATCCGACCTTCGGAGTCGAAGAAAGCACAGGTCAAGACCAGCTGCTGGGCTTGTGCTCTGAGCTTCCTGCGGTGTCCACCAGCAACTATGGCACATGCGGACAGCACACCACAAGCAACGCATGCCTGTATAATGTCAGTTAATTAGAACCATGCGGTCGAAAACCCTAGGAAACTAACCAAGACAGCACAGATAATCACAGTCTGGGTGCGAGAAAGCTGGCCACCCTTTTTGACAGACCGATCATGACTTCGGTACGACGTTCCCACTGCAGCCGTCCAGTGCATACCGGAAACAGCTGCAGCCAGCAAGCACCCACATATGCCTCGTCTCCACCAGCTATCCGTCCAGGTAGCTCTCCATCGAAAAAAGATGCTCAAAGCGGTAGTACTAGCGAAGACGGCGATGACGGCCGAGCCGGCTACATTGGCAGCTCGATAGGAGCATTGATAGTTAGCAATCCCCAGCTGCCCAATATAATGCATACCGCAGACCGATGAGCCAGTCAGCACGCCTCCCGCCATGATTCGGATATACCCAGCTTTCTCACTTGTGCCGATAGCGTAGAAAGCGGCGAGAAGAACAACCACTGGCAAGACAAATGAGACACCTGTGAAAGTCATGCTGTAAAGGATCTGGATGTCTGGTTCCCCGTTGCCAAGAACAATCGCTCGGTTCCCAATGAAATGCATACACCATATACCAACACCTCCCATGGCTACCGAAGAGGTGAGCAATAGGTACCTATGAAGATTAGCAACCCGACATCATTCTCTTGTGCAAGACATCATGCTCGTACCAATTGTACAAACCGGCTCTCGCCGTCCTTCGATGGAGAAGTTCTAATGTTGTAGTGCATCCCATCATGCTGACCACGTAGGAAAGGAAAATAAACCCGGCCAGGTATGACACCCCGACGGGTGCCCTCTCGACAGGGGCGTCTGCATTCGACATTCTGCGAATGAGGACTATAGGGACACTGGAAGCACTTATGACTTCATTGATCGTGGGCACGATGTATAAAAAGAGAAATACTCAAGAGAGTTCACTGTAGGTGCATGTTTGGGATCACTGGGAAGTCTACATTCAAGAAAGGATACAGCAAATTTGGAAGTTAAGGCTGACGCATTGACAAATGCGATCACACATAGGGAAGGATCTTGCTATTATAACAATTAAACTCTAGCAGATACTCCACCACCGTTTCCTGTCCCTCGTGGGCGGCTCCATCAGTCCCAAGGTTACAACGTAGCGCGGGACAATAAAAGGAGGAATAAGCGAGGGCGTAGCTGGACATCGTATTTTGTCCCTCGGGTGTGTATGGGATCCGCTTTACATCCCTGTTAGTAAATGTACGTCAATTTAACAAGCGTAACTAAAGAGAAAACCTGGCCCGTGGACTTGGGCTCCTACCACGAGCTAAAGACATGGAGGCTTGGAAGATCCATAGCAATCAGCCGAAAAACGTGGAAATTCGCTGGATACCACTGAAACGATCGAGGGATCGGATCGTAGTTGGCTGGAAGGGAACGATGGGGCATAAACTCTGACGATTCAGGTCCCAACTACAAAAGCAAGGGCCTGGCCACGGTCTGATAAATTCAAGGCTATGGCCTATCAGCCACAACATGCTTCTTATTCTGTTTTTCTTGGTGGGGTTTTTCGTTTTTCTTTTCTTTTCTTTTTTCTTTTCTTTTTTTTCTTTAAATTTTTTCTTTTTCATCTCCCCCTCTTTCCTTCCTTGTGGGTAAACAAAGGTGGATGACAATATAATTGTAGTCTTGATATGGGTCCGAGTGGTAGGGACCGAAGGAGCCGATTGCTTCCAGGAAGATACGCTAACCATGGGTTCAGCTGCGCCGCCGCACCCAAAGGATTCGCTCTTCTCCGATTCGAACCTAGGATGCGACCCCTGGAGTAGCACTCGCTCTCGAGTCTCGGCGTGCTTGAGAGACAAGGCTCCACCAAAAAGATTTTTTTTTTTTTTTGGTGTTATTGCCCGAGATCTTTAGATTGTGTATACCCACTGCAACCTAGACACCGACACACCCGGTAGCTGATAAATCTAGGGCTTCAAGATTCGAGATCATACGTAACTGTTTCAAGGCTATATCCATTCGTAGTCATCCTCGGTCCGCAGAGGGCAACAAAACTCCGATGTAGTGGAGACCACAAGTCAAGAACAATATGAATCGATTAGGTTCATTCGCTGATTGGGTTGTTCATACCTGAAAGTTTGAAATGTTAGACTTGAGATAATCTCGCAAAACATAGTCTCGAGAGAACGTTAAGTGTCTGACTTGTTCGTAAGCTCGTGGTGTCGGCCAAAGCGCTTTTTAGACGAAGTTTAATGGGAAGGGTTCGCCGTGCATGAACAAGATCGGGCATGTTGTCTGGGTCGGAAGAGACAAAGAGTAATCAACCCAGAGCAGTGGATACTACCCAGGTAGTCATAAGCGTCTCGAGCCAATGGATGTAGGCACAGAGGGGACTGTTGTTGAGCAAAATTTCTTGTGAGGTCCACTGCGCTGGCTCGTGACTCGTGGATGATGGCCGATGCGATCGACGCTTATCCCGATTCGCACTGGGCCCGGCTTGACCGAAACATACGCGAGGGCGAGAAAAAAACCCAAGTTAATTGTTTCAATCTCTTTTCATTTGTCACGCCTCATATGTTACTTTCGTCTTGATTAATTGACTGAGAAATTAATCAATTGAGTGGGGTACACATACGAAAGTGTTCATATCAGATGTACCGCTTCAGAAAAGGGCCCTTATCGTTGATTCATACGCTAGAGACTCCAATGACCGTTTTTACATGTGCCTAGGGATCCTATGTATGTACTGTACCTGGAAGTGATGTACGTTCCTAGGTACTGTACCCCGTACCTGCGTAGGATTTTGTCCAATAGTACAGAGTTTACCCTAACCTCACCTTCAACCAATCGGTCCCTCCAGATCTCTTAAACCAGAGTTCGACTTTGTTTTTGCGGCGTCAGCCAGCCGGTCAACAATCTACTTCCGGAGTAGTGGCTCTGTATCCATTGTACATACCAGTTCTTGCAACAACGCGGCTTAAATTTGTTTCAACAATACACAATACCGACAAAGTGTCCTAATTCAGAAACCACCCGCCAGGTGCAAGTCCTTTAATCTATCCATTCAAGCTGAAAATTGCTAACAGTGGAACCGCAACCCGGGAAGTAAATCCTTGCATGGTGGAGATCTCGGCTTACACCGGCACTACGTATATAAAAGCATCGAATATTGCATGATGGTGGAGTGGAGCTTTGTTGTGACATTCGCTTTACATAGTAAACCCGTGGATCATGTGACACCTGCCCTAATCTATACTAGATAATAGGGATAGAGGCTTGGAGATAAATAGCTGAGTTGTAGACCTGTTAGATACTGTACTGTACTGATTCATTGCCGGAAGCGGTTCAAAATTGGGCTCCTTGATAAGGGTTAAAGGGTAGCACTTTTTATGTTAACTAGGATGAGCGCTTCAAGTAGGTAGCGCTAAGTAAAAGGCAGATATTCGGCTTATAATTATTTGGGGATTTACTTGGCCGATATAACCGAAGGGGATGGCTAGCCCATTAACTTAATATCATGAGTCCCGTCTGTAGTTCGTGGCTGATGCTCTCGTTGCATCCGGCATTCTCATCCCCTTACATTTGCATCCATGCATTTCCCCACCCTCTGCAAGTAATAATCCTGCATTACTTATTTCCACGAAGCGCATATGCGACATTATACTATCAAAGGTCCATTCCAACATCGTATTGTGTGCATAACTTATACAGACTTATATATAAACACCGAAATGGGGGAAGATCCGGTATTTGAACCAAGAGTACGGTGACTAGGAGTATAGAATAGCCACTATTGTCTGTTAAATAACCCTTAACAATATTTTCACTGCAATACATAGGTCATTGATTTTTGAGGTAAACGTGAAGCGGACGCCCAGCTCTCTATATTGGAAATTCTCACTAGCCCCGACTGCTATTCTAGAATGGTACGTACACAGCAGTAGTATGTTATGATCCATTAATTCGGTTCATTAAAGCCGAACACTTCAGCTTCGGGTAGACAAAGCATCTTATAGCCCCTTATGGAGGCAGCGCGATGAAAGATCACTGAACCCACTCCCCAACCCACTTCTGGATCCATTCCGGCTTGACAGCCTCCACGGCTTGCAATTTCCCACTGCGCTGCGCAGTGAGCTGCGTATCCAGCACGTTATCCCGCGTAGGGTTGGACATGATATCCTCGAAGAATTCAAGCAGCTTGACGGCAGGGTTCTTAGCTACGTGCGCCTGCAGCTCCTCTTCGCTAAGGACCTTGCCGCCAGCGCCAGCTGTCTCGATGTCCTGCCGGATGCGCTGGACCCAGGCTCGGAAGGGAATAATCTCAGCTGATTTCCCGGACGTTTTGAGGAGAGCATCTGCCACGATGGGCCGGATTGCTTCCCAGGTCAGGGGGTGCAGGTTCACCGGATGAAAGACATTGACAGAGTCGTTGGCTGTCTTGTTCTTGTTTAGAGCTAGGTCGATTAATATTTCGGCCAAAAGGTCAATTGGTACCCAGTCAATGCGGCCGAGAGCCGGCCCGAGGGTGTCGGGGAGAGCACCAACGTGCAGGGAGCTCAGGACGAGACTGGGAAACCACTCTGTCTTATTCCACAAGCCACGAGACCGCACGGGGCCCGCGATCTGGCCTACACGGGCGAAAGAAGCATGCAAAGAGCTCTGTTTGGCAGCCTGGGCGAGAAGGTGTTCTGCGAGGTATTTGCTGTTGGCGTAGCCGTTGGGGGCCGGGGTGGTAGTCGTGATCAATTCCTCCGGAGTCAAGCCCGTGTCAGTGCGGTGACCCATGGTGGAGCTGATAGAAGAGATGAAGAAAAGATGCGGGGACTGAGTGGCGTTGCGGATGAAGTTGATCAAATTCACCATTCCCACCAAGCTAGGCCTAAAGGACGCCAGAGAGAGATTGAAATTAACAGCCCAGGCATTGTGGATCACGAGGGTGACTGTTGACTGCAGCATCTGAAGAATATCGGACTGGAGCCCAAAATCCGGCTGCGAGAGATCTGCAGACCAAAAGCTCACGCGCGATGTATCTGAGTTTAAATTGTATGCTTCGCTCTTCTTACGTTGCACGTCAATCGCATTATCCTTCCTATTAAGACAATGTATATGCTCCACCCTTGGATTCCTTAAGAGTGTGTCAAGCATGTAGGTTCCTAGATTGCCCGTCGAGCCAGTGAGTAAAACAGTATGGGCCTTGGGGGTTTCAGTATGAGCGGTGCCGGTGGCCAGCTGTCCGATGAGTTCCTGCAGCAGCTGGTCTCGATCTTGTAATTGGGCCTCCTTCTGAGCTTCTCTGGACGCCTCCTGGTGGTGCTGAAGGTGTAGTACCGCTTGCGTCAGATCCATCACCGTTGGATAGAGATAGATCAGGTTTGGGGTGAGGGTAGGAGAGTCAAGCCCACGCTTAAAAATGCGAGTGGCAGTGATTGTTTGCAGGGAGTCCAGCCCGAAACTGAACCAATTCTCCGTATCCGTCAGCTTGTTCGCATTCCACCCAGTGATGGCAAGGATGGATTGCCGGATATAGTCAGAGATAAGCTTAGGATCCTCCGTGCATCCTGGTCCAGACTGATCACTATCGTCTTGTGCCAGCTTGTCCGCATCGATATACAGGGCATCCAACTCCGGAGCGTACTGCGCCAGCGTGCCGGCTCGTTGGATGGTTCCCTTACCGGCGCGAAGCATGGGCTTATCGGGCGTCGTGAACAGAATATGAGTCTTGGCCACACGCGCATGTGCGGGACAAACAGCATTAGCTTGTTCAATGCTGGGCCAAATCTTTTCAATCATCGCAGCGCGTTCGCTTACGCTGAGATTCTTCCCGTTCACTTCTACTAGCAGAGAGGCTTGGAAGCGCTGTGACCCGGCAACGAGCGCTGCAGCCACATCTGGATTACACGCAATGATGTGCTGTTCCATTGACACTGGATTGGTTTTCTCGCCATTGAGGAAGACGATCACGTCGTCCGCACGAGCGCACCAGCGCCAGAGGTCAGGCTTAGCGGGATCCGGATGTCGCACGAACAGGTCTGAAGTGTGATATTCCTGTAAATCAGGGAAAAGCGTAAAAGGAAACTGATAACGCTCACGTTCAGGGTTTCGGGCTATAACCATCTCGTACTCCTCCCCGGCGATGTTACGGAGTTCGACTCCCATGCTGGGGTGGAAGTGGATATAGCGCCAGTCCTTAAGGGGATCACGACTGGTCTTGGAGTAGATGGAAGGGACCATCCCTACCTCAGACGCACCATACTGGTTCACCAACCTTATCTTGGCAGCTACTGTGTCACCGATCTGCTGAGGAAGGTCCCCTCCGCAGTAGATGAGATGTGTTAGATGTTTGCTACAATAGTCCAGGAGATCCGGGCTCTGTGCCAGTTCCTGGACGATCGACGGCACGATCAAGGCAGTCTCGAAGGGGGTACGTTTTCTTGCGTCGACCAGGGCGGCTGCAGTGGGAAGACCGCCGGATGTTGGCAAGATCAGACTGATGCCGACAGCCAAGACGATGAAGTGTAGGTAGGCAAGACCGGCTGCCTTTTCAAATCATTAGATCATATGCACTAGCTTAAAGGGCATCAAAGAAGCTTACATGAAAGGGAGGCGGAACTAAATACATCCTCCTGGCCCGGTTCCAGTGGTCCAGGCTCTCATATCCTGCTGGGGGTTCCAGAACCACCACCTCCATATGTTTGCAAGCAGTATCGTGGGTCCAGAAAATCGGTTTTGGGATACCCGTCGAACCAGACGTGTGGCTAATTGGGTCAGCATTAGATGTGTCTGATGGATCTTATAAGGGACAGGGCATACAGAACAGCCAAAATCTCTGTGGCGGCTTCCGGATAAGTCTTCGGAAAGTTGAAATGGGGATATTCCTTGCTCACCAGCTCATCCACACTAGGGGCATCCAGAACATTTAGGGTGTATGCCTCTAGGATAGTTGTGATGGCTGGTGGTCTCGGCACGGGGCTAATCAGGGTGGTGCAGTTGAGCCGCTTGAACAGACTGCTATGAGCGACCACGCTATTCCGTGGTGAAGTGAGGAACATCTGGATAACCAGATTAACATTTACTTGTCATGGAAAGATGGCTCATCCCACTTACACAATATCCAGCTTTGACAGCGCCAAGCACCAAGGCTGGATATCGTAAGTCATTGGGCCCTACGTATGCGAGGATCTCCCCATGTCCCGGGCCCAGCTTTTCAGTTAACCACCAAGCGATACCATTGATGGCATTGGCTAGGGCTCTGAAGGTAATTGGGCAATATCCATCTTCGTAACTCATGGAGGAGATAGGGTATTTAGCATAGATAGTATCGGGCTTAACCTGAGCATAATGGTCAATGATGTTGGGGATGAGTTGCTTCCGAGGATCGAACGAGGATAGTTCTGGAGCAGTCATTGTAAGTAAGAAAAGATAACTAGTTGTAATACGCCCTAACTAAGAAATGAAGTGAACTCAACTTACTGTCAGAGAGCCTCTCGACCCTCGAGAACTATTTAAAGAAGAGACCGTGCTAGAGGCAGGCTAGGAGTCAGGGAACGAAGACTAGGCGCAACGCGGAAGGGATGCACTACATATCCATATAAAAAGAAATGATAAAACAACGCGGACCATATCAGCGCAAGCTCCACAGGAGGGACAGGGATAGGGGCTATCGTCTATAACCGATAAAAAGATCCGGTCAGCTGACAGGTGGAGAGCAGTGAATCTTGTGTGCTTTGTGGATACAGCAAATACTACAAGGCGTCGTGCTTATGGTTTTAAGTGGACTACTATATACTAGTACTAGCGTTGGGGCCGTACGCTTACCCTACCTACTAGATAAGTGCAGTTGCATATACTAGTTAAGTCTTAGCCCAACAGGTGTCTCTGAGAACAAAGCAATCAATGACTATTCCCGAGCAGAGCCGTCATTATCTTGAATATTTTAGCATCTTTCGAATTCTAGTATATGTACCAGGCTTTTGTGTGTATGCGTTTTATTCATTCTTTTTGTATGTATGTTATCAGTCATTCTTCTGTGGCAACAGTGGATCCCTTGCTGTGACAATCTGCTAACCACGGTTTTTAAAGCAGGATGACCGTTTATCATAATGTGCCTAACTTTTAAGTGTATGTAGTTCCGCCTTTATCCTATATATCAACGCAGTGGGTCAATTAATAATGACATTAGTCACTTGGTCTACTGAGAGCTTACTAGGCTAGATGAGTGGCTGATTGCCCTGTCTACTAAGGTAATGCCTTTATACCTGGATTAAGTATGAAATCCAAAATGACTTGAAGAGAAGTCGGATCTTGCTTGGAAATAGGAACCTGCTCAATATAGAATCTCAAGTACTTCCAGTACTATAGGATATGTAGTTCTATAAAGATAAAGGTTTGTAATCAGTCTTCAAGCTTACGTCTCTATTATATATCCCAGGGCCATGGGCGTGTAGAGATCTAAGCCCCCAAGTTCAACATAATATACCTATGCTCTATAACCATACGATGCCATTAGTTCTATCAACCAAATGTCCAGTTAACCACGACCAAGTGTCTCTGCCTCAGTATAGATCTGAGGGCATGTCTGTCATCACAGTGTTAATCACTTTATATTGTCTTAGGATCGCTGGTTCATAGAAGTCCCATTGATAATTCTGATATCCTACGTATCCAAATATTATATCAATGATAATGAGGGCCTTAACTGATCGACTTGAATGCGAGAAGATATGATGCCATTTCCTTTTTCTTAGTTCCTGTATCTTTCGCCAAGGTTCTGTCTAATTATAGTCACCTGGATGTGAAATGAATGAATGATCGACAGGATGGGGTTCAAAATAGACTATTCGAGCCTAAACAATTAAGTTTACACCCTAATGCACTGTTTGCTTAAAGTTGCCGCCTGTTAATCTTCTCCCATCTTTCCTCACTATTCACTGTACAGTGTACATGCACTAGCTGCTAAAAAAAGAATCCTATGAGACTAAAAAAAGGCTCGAGACATGGAATTGTCGTACAGTTTCGGTTGAACAGTTGGTTCTTTATCCCAGTTAATCAATATGCATGAAAGTGATATTACTTGACTTAGGGAAGTGGTTAAGAGCACGGGAGGCACAAGGAGAACAAGTTCAAGTTGTTGAATGACATTTTGGGAAGTAGGAGATTACGCTGTCTTGTCCATGGGGCTTCTATGAGTGGACAAACTGGCCCCGGACTTCCCCCTATGGCACGATAATGAAACCAGATCAATTGGCAACCGAACCGGAACATATCGTCCTACCTGCCCTTTTCTCAAATAGCGATATTGGCTCAGCGACATATCAGGTGTCTGATCATGACACGTCTCTTTGTAAACTTCTGCTTCCAAGTCTGTTTAGCTGCTTTTCCACGAAACAGTCAAGCCTGTTCCCGTAGCTGCAAGATTTCTAAGAAGCCACGCATCATTCTTTCTGTTGCTCTGTTCATATCGCTTCAACTTCTGACTGACGACTACTTGCATGAAGGCTCTCCCTATATGTCAAGACGGACTGGCCCGAGAGTTAATTCAATCTTCGTGTGGGCGATGAAATACCATAAAAGCTTCTATCCCCACCATGTTGGCTACCAAGATCCCGTTCAAATTGAGATCCAATCTGACATACGCTATCTCTGGCGGGTTTAAAAGTTGCGTCTGGCCACCGCGCGGTGGATGACTGCTCGAGAAGCTCGCAGCTTGATTCTACTTTGGCTCATTCAAGAATTTTCTACGAAGGGGTTGCTTGTCCATGCCCCTCCGTGCACTTTACAGAACCTTTATTTGTACAGCAGATTTTGCAGAGATACCACAGATTTGTCTTCTGTTGAAGGTCGTGTGGAAGGCTCTATGGTTCTCCGGGACCCGTTATTCAGCGAGATGAGCAACGTGGACTAGCGTGTGACTGTCGAATACAAAGCTTTGGATCAAGAAGCTTGGCGACAGAGCTTCCTAAAGACGTCGGTTATTCTGCCAGTAACGTCATTGGTCTTACTGACTAGTCCAAGTATGCTGCGGGGGTACTCATATATGGATGTAACATCTTGCGCTATCGGATCGCACACTGTCAAGTAGTATTTTTGAATCCCCGGTCTATGGTGGCCGATGGTGTACTCGTTGGAACTGCCAGATTTCTGGACAAGTTGCTCCCTCACGCCAATCACTCGCAGGCGGTTCGGTAGTCTTCTCAATTATTATTGCGAATATAACCGACAAAATTTGAGCCCCGATAATGCCCAAGTAGTATTCGGCATATCCGGTGGTGGCGGCCGCCACTCGCCAAATATTTTGATTGAAAAGCCTCCTTTCAGCCAACTCGAGGTTAACAACATATCCGGTGACTCAGGGATACAAGGGTCCAGTCATGTGTATTTCAAGCAGTTATTCCTCAGATCAACCTCCCCGCAGGAAAGGACAGTGATTGTCGGTAGGGTATTGGTTGCAAAAATAGTCCACTGGTGTCACTAGCTCCCCGAGATGCAGAGATGGAAATTCACGTATCACTTCATCCTACTGCGTTGACTCGCTTCTCGCAGTAGAGCTACTACTAAGTCATTCGATCGCCAAGGATCCTAGGTAGAGAGATCCATAGTAGATATCTTAGCTGCTACGAGAAGTCAGCCCAAACATTCGCAGTAGAGTTGAAATTAAATATATGCGATTATATATGCGCTTTTCAGGCCTTTTCATGGTAGGTGATAATAGATATGCGAGTGAGCACTCCTAAAATACGTTCTTGTAGTGGAATTATGAACAGAACACAGCTCATAGACGAGTATCCAGACAAACCAGTCAATCAATCTCACATGCGACAATCTTGGACCAAATTATTAACTACCTACTACTCTCTATTGCGGTGGCAATATTAAGAATAGAGAGGGGCATGGCTATACCACGTTCAAACAGCGTCGGTTCATGACTCCGTCAGGTATACAATTACCAGCAAACAAAAGCGCGAAGTGCAAATCAACACAACACTATCAATGAACTACTCATTAAATCCAACAACAGCACAAAAGTAATACCGACATCCTACCATAAAAAGCTAACCGAGTGAGAAGACACAACCCTAAAAGGAAATGACATACAAGCATTTACTATTGGTTACTAAGTGTAAAACTAAATTCAACTCAGTATGTTGACCCTAACACTATTACCAGTAGGGGAATAAATTCTGGCTATCAGTTCTAAGAGTGTTTCTGTGCGTGGCATTTAAACGTGCATACTATGCATGAACATGCATGCAGCATGCATGCTGTACGTTGTCATGCTGCTAGTACTGGAGTGTATATGTGGAAGATTGATTGGTTGAATTGAGTTTCGGGATGATCACTGGCACTAGTAGTACTAGTAGCAAGATTATATATTCTACCTCTCTGGTATCCTATCTGGGGATTTGTTAATTGAGAGTACCTAGCTAGATTGTTCAAAAGTATTTGAGGGAACATATGTGCTATTTAACCTGCTACGTCCCACAACGATTCATTGTTTTTTCTGCCTATAGGGTTCGTTGGTGGCAGTGCGGGTCATTGTCTCTGTTTGCTGAGGTTTGAAATTATGTTCGAGTTGAAGTAGGCTATTTTTTTTCATGGTCCTATCTTCATCTTGAGCCTTCGTTGTTGGGAACTAGACCCCTGGTCTGCCGTTGTATATCAGAAGTCCTATACAGCGGGACACATGCCGATTCCCCTGTTCCGAACTAGAAGTCCTGGATTACATCACTCTGACAGCTTCTTGATCGTGATATGAGTTGTCACATGGGCTGAGTTTATGGCCACGATAGCGATACAGTTAAATACTTTGCCATCAGGGATGGATATAAATGATGGAGTCACATTCCCTTAGGGACTAACATGAAAAAGCAAATGCCACACACAACCCCAGGTCAATCATTGATTATGCGATCAGGTCCTTGATACCGGCCTCGAGGGCAGGGGGGTTGGCGCCAACGACATCAGACACCTTCTTGCCATCTTTGTACAAAATGAAAGTAGGCATGGCGCGGACACCAAGATCGGCAGCGACTGTAGAGAGTTCGTCGACATCGATCTTGTAGAACTTGGCCTTAGGGTAGTTCTTGCTGAACTCCTCGACCTTAGGGCCAATGGCCTTGCAAGGACCGCACCACTCGGCGAAGCAGTCGACAACGACAAGGCCCGCGTCGGAGCTGAGAACCTTCGTGTCGAATTCCTCCTTGCTGTACGAACAGTTAGTGATATAGGTAACCGAGGGTGACGTAGGAAGAGAGACAGAGGGGCGTGGGAAACAAATTGTTGTTCGGTGTTCGTGCAAGAGAGTGGAGCCTTACCTCTTGATCTCCTGAACGTTGCCGCCAGCCATGGTGGATGAAGGTGTGAATCGAACGATGGGGGTAGAGGAAAAAGCTCGTCGAGTGAGATTGAAGTGCGTGCCAACGGACGGGCGAAGGGAGATAGTAGATGCGATTGCTCTGGAAGAGATCCTAACAGGAGAATGGGAGGAAAGACGAGCGGTGGATGATTTAAAACTAGGGAAGATATTAATTAGCTCCGGATGAGGGGCTGATAGAGGGGCACAAAACGAGAATTTAAATCCCGAAATGACGTTGTCGGTTGGCCTGAGGGTGCACGGGATGAATAATCATCACAGGGTTCCCCCTGTCGACACCGAATCCTCTCGGCCACCGTAGAAAGGACGCGGCTCATAGATGAGATTCTATGGATGGATAAAATTGCTTACCAAGTCACTCGCGAGACTCGCAGGAGACTATTAAATTGATTGGTCAAGCTAAAAGAATACATGTTTGGTTACAAATGCGTGGCAATGAGGTGGTTTGGTTGGTCACTCCTGAGTAGTAGGATGGGAGGATTCAATGGGCGGATGAGTGAGAAGACGCTTCTGGTTCTCCCGCTTCTGCAGGGCAAACATGCTTAAAGCGGCGGCCCGGAATGGCGTGCTCCCCGTCGCTTATCAATCAGGAATGGTCTGGATCGGCATTCGTTTTAGTACCTTAGGCATTAAACTAGTAGTACTTCGTACTAGGCATGTCTAAGAAAACACGGCAACCATACGAAAATGCTAGAAGAAACTAGTATGGAGTACTCCGTATACGGTTCTATGATTTCCTTGGAACAGTCCTAGTATTACATTTATCTTTCAATCGCCTGTTCCTAGCTACAGCCTAGCTACAACAGTTGTTTCTTAAAGAGTAGCATAAATCCTCAGTCTACGAGAATTAGAAATCTTCGTAACCAGAAATAATATCTTTTTTTTCTGTCATTATTGCGATACACTAGACTCTCATGTACCATCAATTAATAACTAGTATAATTTGGCAGGGGGGATAATAAAGGGTATAGCAATATCGAAAGAAAAAGCAAGTCACGCATGCAACGACGACTTGCGTGTTGACATCAATATGTGCATCGAATCGAAGAATGGGATTGCTTCAAGTCTATCGGGAGGATATAGTTCAGAAGAAAATGAATCAAATAGAGCCATTAACTTTGCAAACTCATTCAAACTTCAGCTGATGTGGGGGTATCAACAAACACAAGAACTAGCAACGCCCGCGAGCAAAAACGACGAGTCGGCACGGGGAAGACATCCAAGAACGAAGTGAACTTATGGCTACGTCAAGTGCCACATGAAACACGTGCAAAACAAACAGCACTAAGGAGAGACAAAGGAAAGTTTCAAAGAAGTGACTGGGGTATATACGAAAGAGGCTGATTAAATACTCTTAGGACGAAAGAACGCCAAGGAGAAAATCAAAGGACGGCGAATGAACATCACATTACCAAGGTCAGGCTCGGTAATAAGGCCCCAGTCAAGTTTGGCCATGGGTTAACTGCCCGATGCAGTGGTAATATCCTAATGGCCATGGCGGCCGTCATAGTCATCGTTGGTCTCAAAATAAAATTCAGCTGGATGTTCTTCGATAGGACTGAACTCCTCTTCCATGGATATCGCACACATAGATTGAACATTATTGAGCAGACCCTCGTTCGACTTAGGCCGGACTGCTGGGTTGACAAGCACAGGACGCTTTGCAATCTCATCATGCCAGGTCTCCTCAGTCGGCTCTGGTGCATTAACCATTTCAAAGTCGTTGTCTTGCTCGCCAAGTACGTGGCTGGCTCTGGTAGTCTCATCGTGGTTGGTACTAAACTTGACAAGTTGTTCGTTACCCGTGATCTCTTCCTCCTTAGGTGGCTCTTCACGTTCTTCGTCCAATCTGTTTCTTGAGGAGCTAAGGCTTGGTCGGGCTGGGGTGCTCGTCCTCTGAGAGATACGACGAAGGAATTGGCCTGACATCCAAGACCCTTCTGAATCTATTGATGCCAGCGATTGAGATAGAGGAATGTTATCGGCGTCCCCTTCCATGCTATCGCCCCAAGAATAGTGACGGTTTCCACGAGCATCCTGAGGTTCCGAATCAGACCCGGGAATTGGATACCGCGTTTTCTCATGCAATTCAGATTTCTCAGTTTCCATTTCAGACTGTTCAAAGGGCTCCTCAGGAATATCGGGCGATTGTAGCCGTGAGTCAGGGGGCGATAAGGGCTCGTCACCGAAATGTTCCCTGAATTTAGATTGGGAACGTTTCACTGAACCGGAATGTAAGAAAGTTTTTGGGGGGACATATGGAGGAGGCCCTGAGGACTGTGTCGGAACCTTGAAGAAAGATTCATGCGATGTGTTCGACGAGAATTCTGAACCACGGTCTTGGAAACGTTCGCGGTAGCGCCGCTTGAGGCGTGAGCTACCACGTCTAAATAAGGAGGTTATTGTGTTCACGCGCCCACTGCTATGATCGGATAGCCGTCGCTCCGAGTCAATAGTTCTGGACACATCCGAGGTAGATTCCCTGCCAAGATTGTATGCCTGTGAGGACGTTGGACTGTAAACCTCGCGTCTTGTCGGTGAATGAGATGGCGATAGAGTGCTGCGTGACATACCCATCTCCTGCGATGGAGCGAAGCTGCGCCGCATACCCAACCTCCGCTCCCGGATGGAGCTATCATCAATGTTACCAATAACATGGACGCTCTCGAATGATTGACGGTCACTCCGTTCGGTGCCTTTAGAAAGACCCCGTAACCATGAACCAGTTGAAACCCCGGGAGCATTGTGTCTTGTCTCGTTTAATCCAGATGCATCTTCAGCAATGCACTCTCTAGATTCAGCAGGGTAATCGGCACTCGACCGACCTCGCTGAGATTCAGCCATGTCCTGCGATTCACCTTGGTGGTCGTGAGAACCACTAGCAATTTCTTCCTCCAACCTTTGGCGCTCAGCCTCGCGCTGCAGTTTGCGCTGGAGTTTTTCATACTCTTCGGCTTTCTTCCTTTCCCTTCGTCGGCGATCTCTTTCTAGCAACTCCCTCAACGCACCTGCATCAAGGTCGTCGGCCAAGTTGTCAACTCTTTTCTTCGAGCGGAGATTATCCTCTGAAACGGAAATAGCTGTGGCCGTTTCTCTCCGAGTTGACGCTTCAGATGGTTTTAGACTTCTTGCTGTGGGAACACGAGGAGCCTCCACATAGCGGATAACAGGACGGGGAGTCCAGGCAGCGAAGCCGTTAACTTTAAACGTGCATGATTCAGAGTAATCTGATAGTGAGGATGCAGAGTCGCGAAGCGGGAGGCTGACGTCAGAAAAGTGTCGGTCTGAACGACGACTCTGGGTTCTAGGCCCTCTCCGGGTATAGGCAGATCCTTGTTCACAAGGCAAGGTAGTGGAACGACGAGGTATATCAATGGGAGATGAGGACATTAGACGAATTTCTCGCTCCCTGGCGATCTCGTAGGCCTTTCGCTTGCTTAGCTTTTTCTTCAGAACCGCGGGCCCAGTTTCAGAACGGTTTTGTCTCCGCAAAGACGCATTTCGGGACAGTGAGGGCTGGTCTTGACCGACGGTAGTACGAGACATATAGCCATCCAGAGTCAGACCAGTTCGGGCTGACGAGCCCCGTGCACCTTTCACCCGCTCGCTATGTGACGTAGGTAGAGGATATAGAGTCGGCTGTGAAGAGAGAGGCGGTGCATCTTGAACAGGACCCGAGAGATCGTCAGCAGGCTGTAAGTGTCTGTTTTTTTGTCGTTTAGATTTCTTGCGGGAAGGTTTCCTTCTCAAATTGGCATCGTCGAGGCTAAGGCGAGGTTCTTGTGGCAGATGGACATCAGCCGCAGCAACTGTATCCAACTGGACAGTATGCCGCTTATTCTTCCGACCAAACGGCCATATCGCCATGGCGCCTGGTCATATGTTCTTTCGTCCAGCGTAAGAATTAGACTTGGACGCAACTATTTTCGGATGCAGATTCGGGCCGGATGACTGAGCTCATGAGGAATGATGGGACTGGGAATCACACGCGACCACCAGACAATCTAGACTGTGGCTCGAAGTAAGCAACCGAAATAAATAGAACAGACGGTTAATCCGGCGGCAGTTGAATTGTGAATCAAGGTTAAACTTCTTTGTCCTCTTTCTTTTCTAACAAGCGTCACTGAAAAAAGATAACCCGAGACAACTCGAAGCGATAGACAAAAAGAAAGTATAAGATGAAAGAGTTGGAAAGACCCCCCGGTTGTTGGTATGGACTGGGGGTGTGAAAGAGAAACTATTGGTTTAGAACGAACGGGTAGAAAAAACGTAAGTACTGAGCGAGTGCTATTTGTCCAGGTGAAAGTTAAGACCCTCCGGAGCCACACGCCACAAGGAGTGGCAAAAAACAAGATAGCTTCCACCGATTACAATCAAGTATCAAAAATGAACGAACGGGATTGAAGCGAAAGATGACGAAGAAGATGAAAGTGAGGACAAGGGAGGAAAGGAAGGAGGAAAGGGAGAAACAAGAAGAAAAGTGAGCCCAAAAGACCAAACCCCCAATACCCAAAAGAGTCAAGTCAGTGAGCGAGGGACTGCGAGAGTGACTGCGAGGGCCGAGACAAACAAACCGCCCTTTTTCTGGGTCACTTTACCCAGGGGAGCAGGCCTGCTGGTTACACCGCGAGCGCCCCCGGGCCCGGCCGTCACAAGAGGGACCACTTGAACCAGAGGATCTTCCCTCCCCTCTCCCCGAAAAGAAAAAAAAAAAAAATTATATATATAAAATAAAATTAAATAATATCCATATTTCTTTTCCGTCTATTGTTTTACCTTATTATCACGAAAATTACATGTCAGTCCGAACCGTTGATTGTCTGCTGATCATTTTATTGTTATCTACATCTCCTTTTTCAAAGTTTGGTTTTCTCCTAAACTCTGATGAATATTACCGAAACGGCTTTTCTCAAATGGAAACCTCACGAATAAGTAGGAGACTTCCTCAATATTCAGTCAGAGCAAAGAAAACAGAAACAGGCAGGGAAGGAGTCCAACGGAGGTTGATCATGAAAATTTTCTTCACATGTGGGGAACTAAATCCACTAGACCAGACTGCCAGATTGAAGCCCAATCCCATTGTTACCACTGATTAGGGAGAGACATCATTGGAATTGAATGCCTAGGTACCTTTTAGTACCTGCTTTAGGGACCACTTAGGCATGGATTAGTTAGTATTCAATAGGTCCCGTCCAAGCGGTGCTCCACTCTCCATACTTAGAAACAGATAGTACAATACCGTCCCGTACAATAATTACCCAGGACCCCGGAGGTACTGTGGGTGTTTGGCTACGTCCGATACTGTTGTCAGTGGTAACAGATGCCTAGAATCATTATTTTCAATAGTTCATTTGCTTCAAGTTGGATATGCGAGCGTGATGTCATTATGGATTTTCAGAACGACTCGTGGGAATCAGATCAATAATATCTGCAGAATCCTTATATTACTAGGAAAACCCAGAGCAAAAGCTTTCTTCACTTCTCAAAGCCGGTACTCTACTGAAGGGTAGGATATTCACCAAGTACCAGCCTAGCTCTCTACGTTTGCCCAACTGCCTGCGCATTAGTGCAGTTGGTATCCTCAAAAGGATGCAACAGGTAGATGTACTGTGAGTGAGACGAAGCGGTACATTAGAGTCTTTTGAGACAGCGCTAACACAGCCTCTGATGTCAAGGGAGTAAATCACGACATCAATACCTGTTTACGTGTTCCAGAGGCCTTACCAAGCCTACCTTGCATCCTTTCGGGTGGCTATCTCATTTTTAAACGCCTAGTGGGCTCTCTTCATCATAGATTCGTTGCCGAAACTCTCTAATATGAGATCTAAGGTCCGATACTTTAAGCAGCCATATAATATAGGGTTGTGCTTGTCATCCAAGACATCATGATCACACGGTATCTACACAGTACAAAAAGTTTTATATCGGACTGACAGTTCCAATACTCTGCGGAGTATAGTACATACCAAGGCTTATACTCCGTACATATACGTACATTATTATACATTACCCTCCCGATCAGTGGATCCCAGAGAGGAAAGGGAAAAAATATTATGAAAGACCGTTAGGTATACTAGGTATATTAAAATGACGACGAACAATGGAGTGGAATGCCCCGGTGGAGAGGTTTTAAAGCATAACGTCGCACTAAGACTTGGGTGCTAGTTTCGCTTATCCAACGGGGGACAGGATAGGCAGTGACACCGATCCTGACGGGAAAAACAGCAACAAAGCCTACCAAGAAAAGGAACACCTTCCGACGTTCACATTTTAGGAGGCACTCCTCTATATTGGAACAGTTCAACTTTTTTTATCGGTGCCAGCTTCAATTAACTGAGCTGTAACCAAGCTCCTCCCCGGGCGCTCTTGGGTGCTTACCGAAGGGAAAAAGTCAGGTACCGTGGTACGTTTATGACAGCCACTGACAGGCCCAGGCGCAGGGGCCATGCCGTGCAGAACCCATGGATGTAACGGTCGAGCCTCCATTTTTAGGTAACTTCCCAGAGCGTGGGGCTTTTGTTTTTCTACTAAACTCTTAGGTTCCAAACTTCATCTTCAGACCTTCAGATTTCAGTGTTCCGTCTGTCGATCACCTCAAGCCTTCCCTCCGAGAATGTGCCAGTCGGTGCAGGTCTGGACGTTCCTAGTCGCAGATGTGGATATGGATTTCATTTCCAATCATTATTATTCGGAACAACCTGCCAGACCGCAATGCGTGAATTATTCCGGAACAAATTTCTCTCGTTTCATTAGACAGCACGTATCCACCCAATTTATTATGCCTTGCAGATTGGGTCCTCGCGATTAACTACTGGGCATGGACAAGGGAGATAACATCGATAATTGGAAGATGCAATCTCAGTGTCATACAAGTACCGAACTCAGGGCCATGAGACTTCTTACCCGAGTCGCAAACCGGGGCCGCTCGAAAGAATGTGGTCCCTCTCCGGTTGTGCCGATACAATGGCTCTGCCCTATCATTGGTATCTCGATTGCAGCGCAATGACTCAGGTCTCCAGAAGGCTACGTACCTCAACACAGATGTCCGCTTTTTCCCACATGCTTGCTTACCGATGACTGCGAATTAACAACCTGGACACCCACTCTCAGACACTCTTCAGTTGATTCTATCGCATGTCTTACAAGGCACTGCCTCCTCAGGTAATATTAGCTGTCTTGCCTGTTGACAAAGCTAGAGTATACTCCGTACTTGTGAATCGACCATCTTCGGAAAATCAGTGGATCATTTGTTCCTGCATCTCATTAATTAAAGACTCGGCCAGATCTCAATCTAGCAGGGGAACCGAGAGGAAGACATTCCAGCTGACTAAAGCAGACCTAATAACGAGCAAGCCACAACCTCAGCCTTGCATGGACGCCAATACTAAACAATCAATTGACGTCTGTTTACGGGTAAGGGAAATTGCAGGGAAACCCTCCTCAGACATCTACCGAAGCTTCAAGATGCCGGAGCTATCTAGGGTATGGCCAACAGTCTCCCTCTGGACCTGCAACGCAGGCCATCGTAACTCATACGACTGAAAGTAGCCCGAAGCCCTACATCGATCAAGTTAAGATTGAGGTAGTAGATTGTGATCTTGTGATCGGCGTTGTTGATTGGCGGTATAATTTCTTTTTAATCACGATGATGGGTTTGGCGCCAGCATGACATTTTTATTACTGTAAGAAACATTACAACACTCTTCATCCTCAGGTATTCGGCTTCTAGACTCCGCTTATCCAAAAAACTTCTAAAGCATCAATCCTCCAATTGAGCCCACTGTCCTTAGCACAAATATTTATCCTAGTCTCGATGAATCGTCATACGACTAAGCTACGGGTAATTGGAGCAAGAGTATCCTAAAAGGTCAGATTATACAGCAATACTTTTGCCTTTTGTGTCACACTGCATGCATAATGATAACTTTACATGTCACAAACTATATACCGGGGAAGCTAAGAATGTATTGATCGATACCTTTTGCCATTGTCACAATACCAGCCAACGGTGCAGGTCTCAGTGTCTCGCCTTGACGACTAACACCAGGAAGATCAGAATAACTGGGTTCTATTTGAAAGGTTTCTGATATTAGTTCTGCCCACCCGCGGTCGCCATTACGCTAAATCGTCTTGCATGGACTTGAAAGTTTACTTGCCAGTGTTGTAGGGAACCACGTTGACCCTGTGTTGGCAGTTGGTCTACATAAGAACCGAAGTACCTCCAATGAGCTTTTTGGCTAGTTTGGAAGGCTTCTTATTGCCTAACACAACCTTTTTTTTTTTATCTCCCCTTGCTGTCTTCTTCATATTCAGTCTTGCTTTGTTCTATTTCCCCCCTCCCCCTCCTGCTTAAATAGTATCTTGGCTCTTTTACCATTTCTGTTCATTGTTCGCTATCGTACATGTCATATCCCGGCTCCAGCATTGCTCCAAGACTCCGTCTACCCTCAGGATGCTATCGATTCGAAATGTGCTTAGCTCCGATGAGAAACCTCGCTATCGCCCGTCCAATGCCGCGCTAAACCATGGACGGGCGGAATGCCTGCTATACAGATGCCAAGCAACAACTGGTATTCAACCCAACGGCTTAGTGAGACCGACAACAGCCGACTACTGAACTGTTCCCCTCCAATCGAGGTTTCAGCGGATCCATCACAGGTCTCACTTGGGCAAAGGAACTGATAGATGGCAGTTCTTGATATGAGTCGAAGACAGGGCCCATCACTAAATCCCACCATTGAATATCCAAACAGTTGGCAAGCCCGATACATCCGCACGTGGCCAGATTTGGAATGGACGGCTCGAATTCTTCCTTTGTCTGAGACACACATACACGAACGCCCTCTTTCTTTCTCCCCCTCTACTGGGTACTCCGGGCGGGTAAATCCCCCATTATCCAGAGACAATGGGTGGTGCTAGAATAGGGAAAGGCGGGTGAAAAAAAAAAAAAGAGGAAAAAAAAGAAAACCAGCAATGGATACAATTTTATCATCCACCATCTAATTGGTAAATCGCTTTCGGAGTCTATTCGGCTCCCGTTCCAGAACGCGATACCGACGGCTCACGTGGCGACTCAGGAATCCTCTAAGTGACCAGGAATCACGGGGTTTGTCGCTTTCGGGGGCATGGTGTGACTGTGATCCCTGCTCCTTCTGAGTTTTAGGATAGTAGTTGTTATGCTCTGCGGGTGCCAGTGATTCTGCGCCCATTATCCCATCAGAGATCCTCGAGACTTATCTTTTCTTCCCGTAAGTGATGGAGTTTATGTTTGGCAAGCCACTAGGTGGGAGATGTGGTTTCTCGAAGTGAGCGAGGGCTTAGTCTATAGGCTTGGTTTGATTGCGGACCGGGGTTGTAGGAAAGATTGCATTAATCGATGGATACGGGGCGCGGATAAGGCGGGGTTGCTGATTGCACGGATTTTCTTGTGATGGATGGATCATAAGTAATATGAGATAGCGGCCCGAGTTAATGCAAAGTAACTGGACTGACAGCCAAAAAAGACATATAATGTGAAGTGTTGGCAGTTAGTAGTGTATACCTAACGCCTTTGGTTTATTGTATTTTTTCGCTCTCTCTCCCCTTCTACACGGTGTCCTCAACCAGCCCGACATTGTACCGAACTCTGTAAGTCTTACCCGACTACGGAGGTGTGTTCCTAATGTTATCAAACTACGCTAGTGTATATCACGTGATATTTTGGCCAATAAGCATTACTTATATATTCTAAAGAAACACTCTATTGGCTAACGGTCACGTGCCACAAGACCCACCTGTCTGATAACTTTAGGAACACACCTCTGTAGAATGCGTACCAATAAAACAAAACACATCCCAACCATGGGCCCGCCAGCGGCACAGAAACCTTGGGACCGACGGAGGGGCAGTGGGGACAAGCCAGGGCCCGTCCAATCACCTATTTGACTGTGGGCTTTAGCGAAATTCCCGTGGAAAGCACGTGTCTTTCCCCACAGGCAGGACTCGTAACTGAGGCCTAACTCTGGAGTAAAACGGGCTTTGACCATTTGTGTTTGATAGACATAATAACTTCTAGAATTAAGACCATCCATCTCCTGCAAATAGTTAGCGATTAACTTTTCCAACGGCTGTCGCTGTTAGAACGGAAATTGCAAGGGTCGTGATTGGCATGACTAAGATTATCCTTCGTCTTTATAAATCATATGCAACCTGGTCAATTATTGAACAGTCCCTAGAATGAAATCTCCGGGCCCCCTCGGATGACGAGAAAGGAAAGAGTGCCAGCAGAGATTCTGTGTCCCCAGAAGTCTCTAGACCCTATTGCCCAACCAGAGGTACATTGGATTGCATAACCGTGACATAACGGGAACTGGAGTTCCTATTGGAACTTTTTCCGCTTTCTAGAGATTCCATGAAGGGACTAGAGGGCTTTCCTTTGTCTCACCGCATCCTCGACATCACACCGCCGAATATCGAAGCCGATTCGTTCGATTCTGGGTCATAGTCAACCGAAACAAAATTCAAGATAATAAAAAGAATCATGAAACAAGATCCTGTTGGTAAAAGATTGGACTGATGTTATAGACATGTAATGGTCATAGTCTAACCCCATCTATTGGCCTACGACTGAAGAATCAGCCGATCAGAGGTATCATTAAAATATACTCTTGTAGATCGGAAAATCCAGTTGATACATCGCCACTTCATTAATCCTAAGTCACCGACTGCATGAATCTAAGTTCAATCAAAGGCCATCTAGCAATCCTATTGGCCCAGGAGAACCACAACCTCATGCTTGTCCCGAAGAAAAGTACTAGTACTACTTTTGGAGTCAAGAAAAAAGATAACCCCGCTTTCAGGTCATTCCCTCTCCCTCCGATTGTTGCAGGGATCCGCGACAATGTAGGCCAGAGAATGGCTGCCCTGACTGCCTGATCAGGGACACTGGTTGACTAAAAAACTGAACACATGCCAATAATCTTCTTTCCCAAAGCACACATCAACTTAAAAGTCCGGATCCCTCCCGTAAACGTCGTAGTTGCTGGACTTACAATCGTCCTATTTTCTGTTCATACTCGCCCATTGCTCGGGTGTGTGCACATATCATCATCACATAGTCGAGGTACTTCGAACTTAGCCAATAATTTAAAACACAGTGCAAAAGACCATGGCATTTCTATGGCTATTCGTGGCCTTTGGCTACCTACTCCTCTACGCATTTGCCTTTCTACAGAGATTTGATGCACAGGGCATGTACCTAAAGCGCATCGCGAACTGAACCCGAGACGGCGGAAAATGTCGATCAAGCAAACGGATGAAATTGACATGGGGAAGAAAAACGGGAGGCAAAAATGATGAGTCCTCGATCGATCTACTACTTCTTCTTTGGGGCCCCCACCCCCTAAAACGTCCCTCGTTTGACATCGTATATGAATATGATGCAAGCTTTAGATATCGACACGGGGTTGTCGATATAGTCACTCGCTGTGCTCTCTTGCAATCAGGATTCGAGCCGAGTTGAAGTCCGATTACATTTATTCGAGGAGGACCCCTGACTATCACTACGATGATCGGGTACGAGGCGGTTCATCTCAAACGGATGGTTTGGGATATGTGCGACTGTCGGTTTATAATGTCTTGGTGATGTTGAGACCGTTGTTGCAGGACATGGTTGTCTTATGACGCATGAGTGGAATCAGGGGTGGTTCGTTTATGAGATATGATATATCCTGGATGGGATACGATATGTAACGCTGAGATGTGTGATGATTTATATTTCAGATTTACGCTTCTAGGGGCAAGCCCTAACGGTTCGGGTATATAGCGCTATGGGAACTGGAGAAGGGTGAAAATGGGGGGGTGTGGATCATCTTTGAAATGGAATCCATTTTCTCTCAAGTTCATTATTCTCTAATCAAGTCATCATGTTGCTCTTTTTTTGTGGGTCGTATGAAGGCCATGCTTCTATATGGCATAATAGTTTCCTTCCACCAGCGCCTACAAGACCCGACTCGCCGTCCTTGCATCAATTTTTCCGACTTGCTCATTCCAATAGTACTCGGAGGGCATCCTTAAAATAAGACAGATCACATGTGCCCAGTCGCGTGACGAACGAGTTGTGGAAGCCTGGTTTCCACGCCTTGCCGACAAGACAAATACTATTGAACAGCCACACATGTAGTCGGTGTGCTGCACACCGAGTCAGCCTGAACCGATCCACTGGGTGATAGCTCAGACTTGAGTCCTTTTCAGCTGGAGTTCCTCAGCTCCGTTGAATCACACTGTTCCTTGCCGTGAAGCGGGGTACATCATTAAGCTCAAACGCCGAATCTGTATCCCAACTTGGCGACATCTATACCTCATAGTTCTCAAAGTTTTTAGAACCAGATCTTAATCAACTCTTCACTAACAGCACTTGGTGTTAGAACGCCACTGTCTGTGATCAAGGCGGATATGAGATGGGGTGGCGTGAAGTCCACCACATCCGAACTATGAGCTACCGACTGTGGCTTGTGTCCATCAGTAATATCTTCTTCAGTGTTGAAGTCAATCACACGTTGTTCAATAGGTAGATCATATTGCCCAAGCGGGTACAGTCGGACAAATTTGTGGCTTTCCGCCACGGCGTAGAAAGGCTTTGCCATAGCCTTGGCAAGAAGACCGATTTGGTAGGTTCCCATGCGAGACACAATGCCTCCATTTTCCACCACACCTTCTGCACCCACGATAACAATGTCCGCCTTTCCAAGGGAGTAGGCAACGGCTGATTCAGGGATCGTAGCCACAGGGACACCCTTTGCGCGCAGTGCGCGCACTGTTTCCATACCCTCAGGCTCTGCGGAAGAGTCCTTAGCGGGAGAGAGGACATAAATGACACGGAAACGCACCGCAGAAGGCCCACCCTTCTCATCAGCGGCCTTCTGCAATAATGAAGCGACGACTCGGGATCCACCGTTTGTCAATACTGTACTGCCATCCCGAACGAAGCCCCTTCCAAACGCAGCAATCTTGTCTCGGCTTTCCTTTGCACGTCTGATGAACAACCGACCATTCGAGAGAAGATGAGCTCTGATAGCGTTGAAATCTCCAGCGGGCCCTAGTTGACCAGGTCGCTGTAGCGTAGTAATCAAATACCGTTGGAAGAGATCGGTTCCAGCTGAGAGACCAATGGGATTAGGGATTGACTTTTTCAGGTGGGTGGTAGACTTTTCGAGTAAATCGAGGGTTTCTGATATCGTTGACGAAGGAGAGTGTGTGAGAAGTAATACCAAAGCTTCGATGGCAGCAATTGGCATTGTCAAGTCCGGATCCGAGCGCAGCAACTCATTGTAAGTTGCGACAATGCTAGCGACAGATTAGCCTATTGCGAGACTCAAGGGTTAGCAGTGCATGGAACTCACTCAAAGGGCTTAGCAGCTTCTGATGGTGCCGGCGTAGTGGACGCCATAATGACTGTTTGGAGAACACTTAGTGACTTGATAGTCTGTTCAAAAGCAATGGAACTCAATATGGCGAAGAGTCATCGAAACCTTGAAAGCGACGTGGGTAGTGTTTGTGCTGTTTGCATTGATGCCCCTCTCAGCTCGCGCTAGTCCTGTTTGGTTGCCCTGCGAGGCCCTTGGCGGTAAACAATCATCATAACATAGCACATTGTCAACCTACCACCACGATTATTTTACCGTCCCGTGTCGTTTCTGTCAGACTCCAGTACAGAGTGAAGTCTGTCTGAGATTATGGCTTATAATCATCGAATGAGCCAGCAATTTCGTGGCTCCCAACAGCATCACGGCAGAGGTCGCAAGAAGGAAGATGAGAACGATGCATTGATGCGCCTGGTTAGTATATGGCTTAGCTTAAGCAGCCATCCACCCATAAATGCAATTATTCTCTAACAGTGAGGATAGCCCGATAAGGAGATTGCAGGATGTATTAACGATATCGGCATACCTTTCACTGCCGCAGACCTTATCAAGCCGAACCCCCAACAAATCCAGATGGTATTCGAATGGTTCGCTGAGCTCCTCATGAACATCACCCATGAAGCAGTAGAGCCTGCAATGCGCGCAGCGGCGGATGATGTTGGCGGAGACTTTCCCGATATTGTTCCCACCGATACACGTAACCTCATGGGATTCTTCGTCAGCTTAAGAAAGCTTATGATGGAGGTGGGTGAAGCCTTTGCCAGGACTGCCATTGTCTATTTATCTAGTGACCACAGCTAATCCGTCTCACAATATAGTGCGGGGTCAATGATTTTACTTTTACGGACCTAACAAAGCCTACGCACGATCGCTTGGTCAAGATATTCTCTTATCTTATCAATTTTGTTCGATTTCGCGAGTCTCAAACCCCCGTCATTGATGAGCATTTCAACAAGTCAGAGAAGACCAAGGCACGGATTGATACTTTATATGCAGAGAACCAGGAGATGGAACAACGCTTGGAAGAAATGCGGCGGAATCTACGGGCCAACGAAGCACAAGTAAAAGAGAAAGTCAGGAGAAACGACGAATTAAAAGCGCGACTACTCGAGTTGAGACGAAACCAGGAGCGGGTTGCTGAAACATTGGAACGAGTCAAGGCAGATAAAGCCAGACGGCAAACGCAGCTAGAGGAGAAGACCGAGAAAGTCGTGCGTACCCGACAAGAGGTTGAGAAGCTCCGGCCATATGCCATGGAAAGTCCGGTCAGTCTCCAGGCCTCTTTGACTGAGCTGTCAGAGAATCTACTGCGTGAGAAGGCTCAGATCGATGCGATGGAGAAAAGGGCTAGAGCACTTCAAACTTCATCAGATACGTTCACTGTCGTCAGCAATGATGTCCAGGCTTGCGTCAGGCTTCTTGAAGACATATCTGTGGAGCTGCAGAAAGAGGAGGAGGAAGAATCACGAGCATCTCGGAACAAGGAAGCGATCTCAGAACGAGGGAACAGCGTCCGAGAAGTAGAACAGACTGAAAAGTTGCTGCAGCGACAACTAGCAAGATGGAATGAAAGGATTGAAACCCTGCGAAGGAACGCGCAAGAGAAGGCAGAGGCAGCGCAGGCGCGGATGGAGGAACTTCGGGAGGTTCAGAAACAGCTTCGTGAAGAGCGTGCGGAAAAGCAGCGTGATATGGAGAGAAGGAGGATTAGAATTGAGCAAACCGAGAAAAAGGTATGATCTCAACCCTTTCGTGGTTGTTCCGATGACTAACTCTCATCAGATGGTGGACCTCAAGGAAAACATCGAAAGCGAAATTCAAAGTGCCCATGATGAGTATTTGAGGCTGGAATCGCATATCAAACTTTACATTACTGAAATGGAAAAGTGTATATGAGTTACGGAGTCATGTTTCTTTATTTTTTAGGAGTTATACGGTCGGCTCTAGGATACCCGGTTGGTTGCGGTTTTACACTGGAAGAACGATAGAACATAATTCCATAACACAACACTATTTTGATCCATTTCTTGACTTCACTGATGCTAGTGTCTTTCATATATGCATGGTATCTGGGGCAGGGCGGCCTGATTCGTTGAACTCGAACCATCGTTGGGCGACTCTGTTCACAGGCACACTGCGTCCAAGCCAAGCACTTTCCCCCCTTCGCACTGAACTGTTAAGCAATGGGACATTAGTGTACCACAATACCTCGCCGCGTTCATTGCTATCATGGCTTGCAGCATCTTGACATTCGCAAAGCACAAGATTCATTCCCTCCCTTGAAGCAGCCTCAACGGCGTTCGCAAAAGTCCTGGATAATCCCTGAGCAGAGAACTCCGAAGTTTGCATATGCAAAGCTACTAGGTCAAGAATGGCCATTAAAGGCTTCCGTGTCTTTTGTTCTTCGGTGACAGGTCCTTGCATGAGGTCGCCAGATAAAGGTAGCACAGAGAGATAAGCTCGAAGATTCTCTAATGTCGGACAGTAGACTACCTTGATCCTGTTTGAATCTGAGAGTAATCCAATAGTTTTTGTAAGGATTGGATGACTTTCCGCAGTCTCGCTTGAACGGGCGCGTGCGATTGCGAGTAATTGTTTGAGAAAAGCATCCCGTGTCGAACAAATGATTAGTACTGTTCGGCTGGCGTCATGATCGAGAATGTATTGTATCAAGTCTGTCACCCAGTTGCCAAGATATATTTGGCGGGCTGATATCATGGTTGTAATGATTTTCCGAATGAAAGGCTAACCGTAGCTGATGGGCTGAAGCACGTCGTCATGGTTAAAAGAGACAAACAATTTCATTCAAGCACCTTAAGCAAAGACATTGTTTAATAGTATTAATGGTGCGTCGCGCGATGCTGGCAAGTTGAATTGGGGAGCTGCGGGGAGACGGGCAGCGTTCATTTAATTAGTAGTTCCATTAGGTGCTATTTATCGTCACCTGCCCACTCTCCGCCGCAAACTCTCAACTCTTCCGACCACCTTCTCTTCCTCAGGGACATTACACCCCCTCCAAACCAGATATTCAGTGTGTGGCCCAAAGAGGGCCTTGGGGTTAAGATGGAGACTATCTCCCGGATATCTTCGATGCTGGAAACAGGTAATCGAAACGCCGTTATCCTCTCACGATAAATCCCGCCAAATTGGGTAGCTGACTGTTTGTAGCTCGAGAGCTCACTCTTGAAGCAGCTCAGTCCGCAGCAATGACCAGAGGTTCCAGTACAGGCCTTACGTCCCGCGACGTAACCACCTCACACATCAAAAAGTTACTCGATAGTCGTCATGATCGGGAAGTCCTAGATGGCATGCGCAGGGTGATCACGGTATGGAAGAGCTCCGGTTTGACTGACTCAGTGCTTTTGCTGACATTACCTTGCTTCTGTTAATTAGTTGATGTATCGCTCCGAGCCCTCTCTTCCTTTCTTCTCGGCAGTCGTCAAGAATGTCGCAAATACGAATATCGAGGTTAAGAAGCTTGTCTACATCTACCTGGTTCACCACGCCGAGGCCGAGCCCGATCTCGCGCTCCTGTCCATCAACACGATCCAGAAATCGCTTACGGATCAAAGCCCCCAGGTGCGGGCCATGGCACTCCGCACAATGTCTGGCATCAGAGTGCCAGTGATCAGCCAGATCGTTTCCCTTGCAATTAAGCGGGGCTGCGGCGACATGAGCCCGCATGTCCGCAAAGCAGCTGCGTTGGCCATTCCGAAGTGCTATCGCCTGGACCCGAACACTCTGCCGCAGTTAATAGGCTACCTGTCTACGCTGCTAGGTGATACTCAGTATTTCGTCGCTGGGCCGGCTGTCTCCGCTTTCTTAGAAGTTTGTCCCGATAGGATCGATCTTATCCACAAGCACTACCGCGGCTTGGTCAAGAAGCTTGTCGATATGGATGAATGGGGCCAGATCGCAACGTTACGTCTTTTGACTATCTATGCCCGAAAATGCTTCCCCCCCAAAACTGAGAAAGTTAAACAAGCGGTGTCAAAGGGCTTTTACGATGATGAAGAGGGGGATGACGAGGGTGGCAGGGAATACGAAGTACCCATAGTGAATCCTGATCTTGAGCTTTTTCTACGCTCCTGCAGGCTACTTTTACAGAATCGCAATTCCGCAGTCATTGTGAATGTCGTTCGTTGTTTCTTGTATCTCGCTCCGCCAGAGTACCTTGCTGCTGTTGTTGGTCCTTTGGTTGCTCTACTCCGAAGCCCTCAGGATGTGCAGCATATTGTGCTCTACAACATTGTTGCTGTTTGCTTGCGTCATCCCGCGCCTTTCAGAAAATATGTCTCTCACTTCCTCGTCCACGCCTCAGATCCGCCTCATATCTGGCGTCTAAAACTCGAGGTTCTTACGATTCTTTTCCCTCATTGTGGTCTGCACTTGAAGGGCGTGATCCTTAGCGAGCTCGAACATTTCTCTCAGGGAACGGATCCCGAGCTGGTGCGCGAGAGCGTTCGCGCAATCGGACGCTGTGCACAAAGTGACCCTAGCACGACTGGTCATTGTCTTCGCCTACTGCTCAACCAAATTATTAGCCTGGACGACAATCTAGTGTCGGAATCCTTGACTGTGATCAGACATCTAATCCAGCAAGACCCAGCTTCGCATGAACAAACGGTCATTGAGTTGGTGAAACACCTCGGATTGACGAATAACCCGGATGCTAGGGCGACTATTGTATGGTTAGTCGGAGAATATGCGGGTACAGAACCGGAGAGGAATTTTGCACCAGATGTTCTGCGAATCCTAGTGCAAGACTTCGCTAATGAGGCAGAAGCCGTGAAACAACAGATTGTTCTCTTAGGGGCTAAGGTGTATCTACACCATCTTCTAAGGAACCCCCCCAAGGAGGAACCTCCGGCAAGCCCCAAGGTTGAACAGCAGTATAAGAATGAGTGGACCGATGATCAGGACGAGGAGAAAAATGAAGAAAACAACCTTGATGAACAGAAATCTGAGCCGGAGGAAGATAGAGTTACTCTTCTTTGGAGATACCTTCTCCTCCTTGCTAGATATGACACTTCATATGATCTACGTGACCGTGCTCGACTATACAAATCTCTTCTTGCTTCGCCTTCTTCTACACAGCTTGCGAACTTGCTGCTCCTCGCACCGAAACCAGTACCGCATGCCCCTAGCCCATCAGAGACACGAAAGGATCTTTTGATCGGCTCTTCTACCTTGATTGTTGGTCCGGACGCGGGACCCCATGGTCTCATAGGCTACCAAAGTCTCCCTGACTGGGTTGAGTTAGGAAAAGAACCTGATCCCAGCCTCCGGGAACCAGATGTCAAAGCTGAGCTTACAGAGAAAGCCCCTGCGACTGCAGGTGAACGACTTGATAGAGCCCTACGTGAGCACCAGAACACTGTTGCAGCTGCTAATAGACAACCGAATGGGCGCATGCCAGCAGCAGCATCGGCAATGAAGAATAAGACTCTCGATCAGTGGTTAGAGGACGATGAATCTGAAGAAGAAACAGACTCCGAGGAAGAGGTTACAGACTCCGAGGAGGAGACTGATGAGGAGACTGATGAGGAAGAAGAAGAAGAAGATGATGATGATGATGACGAGGAAGAGGAAGAAACCGAAGAAGAGACGGATTCGGATGATGGTGAAGAAGCAAGACAACTCCTAACCCAGAGTGGTACGCATGTTCAGGGATCCTCGAGGGATGTTCTTTGATGATTCGGGGACATTTGGAACTACATGAACCTTACCATAGATATACTATATATATAGAACATTGCTCATAATCTCAATGTCATAGACCCATAGAACCCTTCAAAGTTACTAAACAAATGAAACAAACAAATAGTTACAAGAGAATGACTGACTAGATGATTCAAGTACTTGTGAATAGTACAATGACTTTACAATCATTTTTACTAAATTATCCTACAACTTAATGACCGGATTTTCTATCACAGCTTCCCTGCATCAAGGGGAATTATCAATGCGTTCAGCTTATTTTTATATGGTGTTCTGCACAAGATGTACTATGTAGTTTAGCACTCCTTTAGAAAATGTCACCAGCTTGGAATATATGTTTGTATAACTTAATATATGCCATGCTAAATTTTGTGCTTCCAAGGTCGGACACCATCCATCCAGTGAGGTACTTCCTAAGCTGGTAAATGTCAATATCCTAGTCATATGGATTGTATTATAGAGAGCCAAGAGGCAACTAAAGAAGAACAACACTATTGTGAAGGATATCGTAGGGATGTTTTAGATTGTAGACAGATTGGTGCTTCTATATATTCTCTATATCTCTACTTTCCAATGATAATAAAAGATAATGACCTCAACTACGCTTAGGACTAAAGAAACTAATAATTGTAAAGTAATTACAATCTCAAAGTCTTGCCTTTACCAGTTATTAAATTATTTTTAAAGGTAAACCTAGGTACCTTTTATAGGAGATTTCTACATAAGCGGTACATGACCATTCGGCCGGCCTGGCCCCTAAGCTTGCGGGGTCGTATATATTTACTACACTATATATTACAGGAGACTCCGATACACTGCAACCCCACCTCCCTTGCACGGCATACATCCTTCCACGTCTGCCACACATTGCTGTTCTACAAGATGGTACGGTCAAGCTTGTCAGAAATTCTCACGGCAGCATCATTGGACTTGGCTCCCTACGAGGACCTTTACAAGTATTTCCATGCGCATCCTGAGCTTTCCCGGCAAGAAAAATCTACATCGGAAAAGCTCGCGGCACATCTGGCCCAGCTGAAAGTCTATGAGCTTCATACCAATATCGGAGGCTACGGCCTAGCGGGTGTGTTTCGAAATGGCGAGGGCAAGACTGTGCTCCTGAGAGCGGACATGGATGCACTTCCCGTCAAGGAGATGACTGGGCTCCCCTATGCAAGCACCCTCACCATGCGCGATACTGAAGGGAATGAAAAGCCAGTGATGCATGCTTGTGGTCATGACATGCATATTACATGTCTCCTAGCAGCAGCAGAGACGCTTGTAAAGATGCGGGACGCATGGAGCGGGACTTTGATTGTGCTGTTCCAACCAGACGAAGAGCGAGGTGGAGGCGCGCAGGCTATGGTTGACGATGGACTCTATTCCAAGGTTCCAATTCCTGATTATGTCCTTGGTCAGCACGTCATGAGAATGCGGGCAGGAAGCGTTGGTTCGCGCCCTGGAGCTATCATGGCTGCTGCCGACAGCATGAAGATCACAGTCTATGGGCGTGGTGGTCATGGATCTCAGCCTCATCAGACAGTGGATCCAGTGCTTCTTGCTGCACATATTGTCATTCGACTACAAGGTATTGTGAGCAGAGAGATCAACCCAAGCGACCTGGCTGTCTTGACCGTCGGAAGTCTCCAGGCTGGGCAGACAGAGAACATCATTACCGACAGGGCCGAGATCGGCGTTGACTTTCGGTCTGTTAAATTGGAGATTCGGGAACAAATTATCTCTGCGATTCAGCGTATCGTCGAGGCCGAGTGTGCGGCGAGTGGTTCGCCTAAGCCTCCTGTGTTTACCCCGACGAGACGCTTCCCACCTACCGTGAACGACAACGATGCTGCATCTCAAGTTGCCGCAACATTTGCGACTCACTTTGACAACTTCGATGACGACGTACCGCGAACTAATATTAGCGAAGATTTCTCTACGCTGGCAACCTGCCGAGGGATCCCTAGCTGTTTCTGGCTCCTAGGAGGCATTGATCCTGAACTTTGGGATCAGGCACAGGCAGATTCTCGCACAGAAGAGATCCCAGGAAACCACTCGGCGCTTTTCGCGCCCGTTATTCAGCCAACAATGAGAGTTGGAATGGATGCGTTGTGCCTTGCTGCCCTGACTTTCTTGAAAAATTGATTGCATGTCTTATAGCCCTAGATTTCTTAATACGAGGTAAATCAGGATAGTAATACAACACCATGGTTAATTTATTGGCAAATCCCACTTGGCTTTAATATCTTGATGTTGTAGGAATGCCTCGAGACGTATCCTCGCTCGGGAGTAAAAGCGGCGTGGGGTCTAGGCCTATTTCAGAAAGCGAAAGCCCTGCAGCTTCCGCAGAGATGAGGTTATTCAAAACTACTCCGTAAGTACTCTGTATATCCTCTTGAGGGTGAGAGATCCCACGTGCTCACTTATCCATTTTAGGCTCCACTCAAAAACACAGGCGGTGTGGTACGGCACAATTCAAATTAATTGGATCCGCCGCCGCGTGCCATTGGTACCGCTATTGTGATGACTGAGGGTTACCGATGTGTCCAGATCCTTTCCCGACAATGAATTGATTTCTAAGAAAAGCCATTCAAGTCCTTATGACAAGTTCCGAACACTGCCTGGATATTCTTTCTGCCATCATTTAGCCCTTGAGCTACACGGGCTCAGTTGGCACCGTTCACATACGTCCTGCTGCATCTGTCGGTCATGATGCGAACTACTGCAACAACTTCTCACACAGACATACTATCCTTCCTCGAGACGATTTCCCACTCCCTATCCCGACGCGTTCGGTGACATCTCGCGCTCAAAAAATCTCGAAGTTTGACCCATTCGCCTTATCATCGTTATCTTGTACCAAAATAGTAGTGTTTCTAATCACCCATTCGATTAATCCAAACACAATGCCTGGCTTACCGGGTAAGTTAACATACAACAGTTCCCTTTGTTTGTGTGTCTCCTAGACTGACCTTTATTGTGTCGCAGCGAGTATCGACCTGGATGAGTGTATAGAGAGGCTCTATAGAAAGGAGCTGCTGGCAGACTCTGTGATTGAGGCAATATGTGCCAAAGCTAAAGAGCTGTTGATGAAAGAGAGCAATGTGGTTCATATTGCGGCACCGGTGACAGTAGTGGGAGATATCCACGGGCAATTCTTTGATATGCTTGAAATATTCAAGATCGGAGGTTTTTGCCCGAACACGAATTATCTATTTCTAGGTCAGTTGAGGGACTACATAAATCTCGAATGTGGTCGAACCATTCAACTAACATGTCATGATTTTAACGACAGGCGACTATGTGGATCGTGGTTTATTCAGTATAGAAACAATCTCCCTTCTTGTCTGCTTGAAGTTACGATACCCTCATCGCGTGCATCTTATTCGAGGAAACCACGAGTCTCGTGGTGTCACGCAGTCCTACGGATTCTATACTGAGTGTGTGCGGAAATACGGCAACCCCAACGTCTGGCATTACTTCACTGATATGTTCGATTTCCTCACCCTGAGCGTGGTTATTAACGATCAAATCTTCTGCGTGCATGGCGGCCTATCCCCCTCCATCCATTCTATAGACCAGATTAAGATCATTGACCGTTTTCGTGAGATCCCTCATGAAGGCCCCATGGCCGATTTGGTCTGGTCCGACCCGGATACCGAACGTGATGAGTTTTCCCTCTCGCCAAGGGGAGCTGGATATACATTCGGTGCGCAAGTTGTCCGGAAATTCCTCGAAGTCAATAGCATGTCCCATATTCTGCGGGCACACCAGTTGTGTCAGGAGGGGTACCAGGTTCTCTACGATGACCGGCTAAGTACCGTGTGGAGTGCACCGAACTACTGCTATCGGTGTGGTAACCTTGCGAGCGTCCTCGAAGTTAGCGATACCGGCGAGAGGTTTTTCAACATCTTCGACGCGGCTCCGGAGAACGATGCCCATCGCAACGAACAGCAAGCGCAGCAGAATAAGGACGGACAGAACCCGGTGATTGACTACTTTTTGTGATACCCTCTTATATTTATTTTCCTTCATGTTCCATTTATTCACTGCAATTTTTTTTTTTTTTTTTTTTTTTGGAGTTTGGTAGATGATGGGCAAAGCATTTTATAGACAGCATTGCGATCAAATGGCGGTGAAGACTACCAACAAATGAATACACAAGACAATATATATCTATGCTGTATTTGTATGTCAGGAGCGCTTATAGAAAGGGGATCCAATTATTAGGACCTATATACGACAACCCAAGAGTGAGTCAGGGGGCTTGTAGCTCTGAGAGAAGGTCAAAAATTCCAAGAATGCAGTTCCGTATAACGCTTGCAAATTTTCAAAGAATGCTGGTCATGACAGAGTCGTGGTTCATCCGGGAACCGTCAGATTTACCAATCCTTCGCGATATCAAACGACCACTCGAACTGCAGGTGAGTGTGGTCGTCGTCATCCACGAATTTCGAGACCGCGTTGTAATGACCACGAGCTATAAATCCGGTGGGGGCCTCTTCCTCTTGGACTGAAAAGAAAAACGGTAATTAGCGCCCATATTACGACCGCAGACGTACCAGATGTGGAGCAAACTTACACTTCTTCTCGTAAACGGGCTTGTCGGTGGTGTTGGGGGCATAGCTACCCAGCATCTCTTCGTCCTTGCTAACCCTAACACCCTTCCTCTTAACGACCTGCAGGTACTTCAGACCGCTCAGGACCTCATGCTGCACCTGGAAGACGACCTTGATCCGGAAGTGGGCACCCTCCTTGATGGTGAATGGCTTGTCCTTAAGAGTATCAACTGCACCGGGCGCGGACACGTCGATGACCACATCGGGACGTCCCTCCACCTCCAGGGCGAGAGACTTGATGATGCACTTTCTGGGATCGTTGGGGTCTCCAATTGTTGCACCGGTTGCAAGGCCTAGAGAGGCCTTCCAGCGGTTTAGGGATTCGTCATTCTTATCTGACGAGGATCAAAGTTTAGCACAGGCGTACGTATATATGCGTGCATGGTAGAAGGGGCTGAAATGGTCACACTAGCACGGGTGGCAGCTGGAATGGAACCTTGGAGTTCTATAGCTCCCGTTCTTGCATAACGGTAAGGGGTGATGCCACGAGGCAGGTTGGTGCATAATGAAATCTGGAATTCAAGTATAGACGGAGAGATCCACATACCAAGCTCAGTGTACTCATTGATTGTCTTCTTCTCTCCGACCTTGAAACCCTCGGTCTTGGAGGCAACGAGATCATCTTCGTGCTCGGGCATTGTGTCGGTAGGGGCTTGGTGGGGTATTAGTATATATGGTAATGTAGCTTTAGGGAGTTAAATGATTGAGGACAGATCACTTCTATACAGGAAGTAGATCCGGGGAGGAGAGAGGGGAGATATACGCAGTGTCAACGGGAATCCACAAGCAAAATTAAGTCTATTTGGCCCTGCAAGGATTTAGGTGGGAGTAGCAAAAAGAACAGCAGCAACAATGAAGACTAAGAGGGGCGGTTTTGTTTTGGTAGTCAAGCACCGGTGGGGGATTCGTTGGCTCTCAGCCCACACAGTGGGGTGGGAAGAAAGGCGGTGGACATAGTTCAGGGGAGGCCCAGAACGAAAGATGGGAAATGTGAGCGGCCCAAGGATTAATATCTTCCAAGACATTGATCCAGAAATATTCTCTCGTTTTTCCTTGTCCCAACTTTGGGATAGTAACGCTATCTTTCTCTTGTTCAGGGTCAATGGCTTTGTTGGAGAACGATTATCTCAAGATGGATTCCATTTTGTGCTGTAAATACATCATTGGGAGCTGTGGGAGGATCCGTAAAACTCCAGTGGTGATGTCAAGATAGACATACTCCATCTCATAACCCTGAATTCTCTCTGTTTGGAGACTTCCTCAGTCTTTGTATGTAAACAAAAACACCTGTATGGATATGTGGCTGAGCTTTGAATGAGAAAGAAGTGAAAAAATAACCAAAAGAAAGTATCGATGGAACCGCTTCTGTAAGAGTTGCATCACATCCACCAGACGAACCCTCCAAGAGATCAATCAAACAACTGTGACGAACAATTCCTCAACGTATTTCCCGTCACGGGGCAACGGGATCTCCCACCAACTGGATCAGGCTCTAAGGCACTAATACGTGTGGCATACCCAATTTTGGCTCTCATTAGATACCGGGGATCAGCTGGTAGCCGCCGATTCTTACCGTTGATGGACAATCACGTGATTGCTACGCATGGCCATTGGTGGAGGGAACAACTTGTCACCATTAGTTCAATACTGAGTACGGAAGTGATACAGTACGTTGGGCGTACAGAAGCAATCGCCCGCCCCGTTTCCACCTCCATTTATTATTTTCCTCCTCTACTAACCGATTCTCGTATTGATCTCGAGTCGGTTATCACCTGGCTTGTCGCGGGTCTATCATCTGTGTCCCACAGGTTAAATCGTCCGCCAAGTCGATCGTGATTCTATCATCAGTACAGCCTACGTGGTGACGTATTATCATTTAACCCTCGACAAAAGCGGCGAGAGACGCGCCTGCAACGTGGCCGACGTTCTGGCGTCGCATCCTGCTTCGAATCACCTCGGAAACTGCTGCCACAACATTCAACTCTCCGTTCTAGTTTAATACTTGACGAAACCTGACCATTCATCATGGCGCGCTCACTGCCCAAGAAGAACAATCCCCATATCCTTCCGCCTGAGACTCCTACCTGTAAGTTCCGACATCGTTATTGTCGCGCGACCCCAGGGCTCGCTCATCTTTCATCGTGCTTCGGCTTCAAAAGTTTGCGCCTGGGCTGACATATGCATCTCATCGCGACGGTAGACGAGGAACTCTTACGGTGCCGACGATTGGGCAAAACAAATCTCACGGTGAGGCCTACAGTGATCGGCACGTCGAATGCGACGAAACCGGAGAACCTTGGACCCTTTGAGTATGCGCATTTGCGCGTGAAACTGCCAAGGGACCTCAAAGGCTCTGAAATATTTCCTTCACACAACACTCAGCAACAACCAGAGACGTACTTTTTGATGGTGAGTCGCTCTTCCTGTGCCCATCTGTCGGAGTAGCGGTATCGCATAGAACCGAGAATTAACACCCGACTCTTCTTTAAACCCCAACAGCGACGGAGCAAAGATGGATACGTCAGCGCTACCGGAATGTTCAAGATTGCCTTCCCCTGGGCAAAATTGGAGGAGGAGCGGTCTGAGCGCGAATATGTGAAAGCTCGTAAGGAAACCAGCGAAGATGAAATTGCCGGAAATGTGTGGATCTCGCCAATCCTAGGTAGGCCCCTTGAATTGATGCTACCCGCGAACGTGTATAGCTAACTTGTTTGTTAGCTCTCGAGTTAGCAAAGGAGTATCAGATGTATGATTGGGTACGAGCATTGCTTGATCCCACCGAGATTGTACAGACCCCATCCAGTACGAAGAAGCACATGCAGATCACCCCACCTCCTCGATTTGATTTGCCTCCGATTGAAGCACCAGCCCAGCTTACTGCGGCGCCGCGCCTGCGAAGAGGCCGGTCTGCTTCTCCCAGCAAAAAGCTCGCTTCCCCACAAAAGCTCGCTTCCCCGCGGAAACCTAGGAGCACGAGAGCCAGAGAATCCAAGGAAGCTCAGGACGTGAAGGAGGTGAAGGAGGCAAGCATTGTGGCGACCAGTGAGGCCAATGCAAACCTTCAGTCTGCCTTGGATGCTACAGCCGAGGCCGGATCGGTCAATGGCACCATCCAACCCAGCGTAGAACACGATGAAGAGAGAGTGGCACCTACTCCTAAGAAGTCTGCTTCAACACCAAAGTCCACGAAGACACCCAGAGCTGCCCGGGCGAAGGAGCTTAAGGGGCTTAAGGAGCTCAAAGAGGTCGAGGAGGTCGTGGAGACCAAGGACACCAAGGAGGAGAATGTCAAAGTGGATGTTAAAACTAATGCCGACGAAGCCAGGGATGTGCAAACGACCCAGACCACCGTCTCGGTGGAAGTGCCTATTTCTCTCCTTCCTGATGCACCATCTGCGGAAGATACCGAACAAATGATTGCTAAGGCCAAGGAAATGGTAGAAGAGGCTGCCAAGCTTCAGAGCACAGATGAGGAGCCCGTGCCATCGTCATCAAAGGCTGCTAGGAAGCGCAACATCGAAGAAGCGCTCAGTGATGATGAGGAGGACGAAGAAGCAAAGGCCCTGCGCACCAAGAGGGCAAAGGTCTTGGAAGAGAAGTTGAAGCGTGAACGTGTCAGGAACCGCGCTCTTGTCGGTGTCACTGCTGCTTTTGCACTTGCGTAAGTTGGCTGACTTCCCCCTTATTGTCCATTCCCAATCTAACCCATCACCAGGGCTTCGATTCCTTACTTCTTTTAGAGCTTCTACTACGAACTGTATTGGGCGCCTTCCTACGGAACAAATTGTCCCGAGTTGACCGTCGCGTTTTCCATCGAAGAACATCTCTCCCAAACCTCTTCATCCACTCCCCTTAGGTTCTAGATTGTTCCCTCCTTTCCTTAGGAAAGAGATCTAGTTCTTTCGACCTGTATACCCTCTCCTTGCAACCCCCCTCTTCGATGTGCATTGTGATTTTACCCACACAGAGCTTCCTGATGTATCGTATTTACACCCTATCCCTTTCTAATTTTTGCGCCTTGGTTGCAAGAAGGAGAGCACTTTCCCCGGAAATGGTTGTTATTGATCGTTTTTTTGATTTCGCCCGGTGGTCCTGGAGATCGAAACACTCTCTACATGCGCATTCTCTTATTTTTCCTGGATACCTGATATACTAGCTATAATCCTTTGTTTCTTTTCGCTGCCTCTATTCATCGGATGGTTTTTGATGGGCACTCGGGATGGTCTCCTATGGTTCGGTAGTACAGGATGTGAAATGCAAATGCAATAAAAATGAGACGATGTAGCCATGTATTCTATTCACGCCGTTCTCTATAATCCCCGTAAATGTAGGTGGCTGTACTCCACAGTAGCGCATTTAGTAAAGGATTGTTCGACGTTACAGTAAAGTTAGTTCTGGACCTTTTCCGTTGCAAACATGATAAACACCGTCACCTCCGCCATTAAGCTTCGATAATGATCTTCAAGCTCCCCGAACTTGTCGTGGTTTGTTAAGAAATAGAGCACGTTTTCCTTCTCAGTTTGTTTTTGAATATAGAATCGGTTGATCCTAGCAATGCCATGTCTCTCCCCGGTCTAGACCTCACACAACCGTCGGCAGACAACCAATTTGCGCCCGCACCGCCGACCCAAATCAGCCTGTCGAAGGGTTCCGAGTGGAGATTTGAGGTTGCTTTCGGCACAGTTATTCGAGTCAAGGTGAGTAGCTCAACCACAAGCCAAGTTGCGACCCCCGTACATGAAAGTGATGGCGCGGCTGACCTGTCCTTCCCAACAATTGGAGGGGTAACCATAGCTCCTCGCCGGCACCGCAGAACTCTTTGGCACCGAACTAGCTCCATCTCAAACATACACCTTCTCCGGGACGAAAGGCGCTATATACACCTGGCATGGCTGCACACTGGAAGTGAGCGCGGGGGATACAGGGCCATCTGTCGATGGGTTGGCACCAGGTGGTATGAGCGGCGCAGCACCTCGCGGGCTCGGTGCGGGAGGTTGTCAAAGCGAGTACACGGCAGAGGAGACGCCAATGGTAGAATACGCCAATGTGCATTTCGCACTGGAGACGATGCGCCAGGAGGCGAAAGCGACAGGGAAAGACGGTCCGCGTGTGCTGATTCTCGGTCCGGAGAATGCGGGAAAGACGAGTGTTGCAAAGATCCTGACGGCGTATGCTACGAAGGTGGAGAGGCAGCCTATCGTTGTCAACTTGGATCCGACCGAGGGCATGCTTAGTGTCCCCGGGACATTGACGGCTACGGCGTTCCGCACGATGATGGATGTTGAGGAGGGATGGGGGAGCAGTCCTATGTCTGGACCCAGTGCTGTTCCTGTGAAGCTGCCTTTGGTTTACTTTTACCCGATGCAGAATCCACTGGAGGCGGAGGGGTCTGTTTACCGGCCAATTGTGTCGCGGCTGGCGCTGTCGGTGATGGGACGCATGGCGGAGGATGAGGAGGCTAGGGAAACGGGTATTATTGTGGACACGCCCGGGGCTTTAAGTCAGGGTAAACCTGGAAGTCTCGAGATGATCAACCACATCGTGACGGAGTTTTCGAGTACGTCTTTTTGCTTGATTCACTTGTTGTGTAAGGTGTGCATGCACTGACAGATGACAGTTACTACTATCCTTGTCATTGGCTCGGAACGACTATACAGCCTCATGATGAAGAACTACGATAACAAGCCGACATCGAGCGCTTCTGCCGTCGCCTCGGATGAGCGCATCACAGTTGTGAAGCTCTCTAAATCCGGTGGATGTGTCGATCGCGACGCAGCATTTATGAAGGGAATACGCGAGTCCCAAATCCGAACATACTTCTTTGGAAACCCTATCCCGTCCACTGCGTCTGCCGCTCTTTCGCTCTCAGCATCGTCCACTACAAACGTAACGCTATCCCCACACGCCCAACAGCTTGATTTCAACACGCTGGGTATCTACAATTATACCATCGCATCGCTAGAGGAAGACGAAGACGAGTATGATCCGTCTCAACTCGGAGCCGGTGACTCGTTCCTCCCCGGGGGAGGTAATGACGCTGAGGTCAGCCAGGCCCCGCAAGATGAGCCTGCTCGAGCTACACCTTTACCCGGTATAATTTCCAGCATCGAGAGCGCTACTCCAGCCGTGGCTTCGAATGTCCCGTTGAAGAAAGTCTCACCCCCTGCACCATCCACACTCGCCAATTCTCTCATCGCCATCACCAACGCACCTACCACAGCCAGTGCGGCTGACGTGCGGGACGCCAGTATAATGGGCTTCCTGTACGTGGCCGAAGTGGACAGCGAGAAGGGCAAGATTCGTGCTCTAGCTCCGGTGGGCGGACGAGTGCCCCCGCGGGCAATCGTCTGGGGAAAGAAGTGGCCCGGAGAGGTGGTGGGATTGGTTGGATAAGGTAGTCGTTAATAGGTATATAATTCATCAGTACTGGAGTTCGGTCGGGTGGGCACTGGTTCAATGATTGTTAGCCATGGTTCTATCTACGAGTCTATAGCCGAGTGAAGCACAATATCAACATGCATAGTCACGTTTACAGGTACTAAAAATGACCAGTCATGGTACCTTTTACCCCCAGCCTATCAGGATACCAGTAGCTGTTGGTGTGTTGGGTGTGTATTTTAGTGTCAACCTCGCCCAATGATCACCGATCACTTCCAGGGCAAACCAAAAATGAAACAGATGAGGTCAGCAGATAGAGATCAGACAACTTTTCCCATCTAACTAAACCGCACGGTGTCCTTGGCGCCCCCCCCTCGGGCAAAATACAACATAGCCACTAACAGGCTGCATGCTCCAGAAGTACTACGGACTACCGGACTACATACATATATAAGCACCAGCGTAATCCCTCGTACGAAAAGTAAATAAGTAATCATAAAACTCCATACCATAATCCTCACCGGAAAAGGACAAGGGAACAATATAACTCCGAATCCAACCCTCCTACTACTACTACTACTACTACTACTACTACTACTACTACTACTACTACTACTCTTACTACCACCACGAAATATAGTATAAATACAATGAACTGGCTCAAGCGGCTCCTCCCCATCACGGACCCCCAACTACGCCGGCAGAAAAAAGCCCAGCGACGCCGCGGTCGGCGGGCTCGGGCTCGGGAGCGTGAACTGCGCCGTCAACGGGGCGAGTCAATTCGAAACGCTAAGTTCTTTACCCGTGGGGGACCCATTGCAGTCGTCTGGTGATTTGGTAGGTTTTGACTTCTAAACCTCTCTCTCTCTCTCTCTCTCTCTCTGCGTGTCATTCTTATCATTCTTATTCTAATATTGTCTATTATTGTCAGGGACCACGGAAGAAGAAGTGTCTGGGATTCATTCCACCTTACGGATTACACGCACACATTCCAATACATCATCAATCACCAAATCGAAACGACACCGCCTCCTTATCAGTAGCGCTAGGTCATCGCTATCAATCACCGATTAAATCCAACCAACGGAACCAAAACCTCATACATCCATACATAGAATCACCAAAACCAAACCACCACCAAACCCCTCTATAAAAGTCCACACCACTAGAGCAAACGAAAAGAAAAGAATAAAAA